CTAATTAATTAACTTAGGTAATTGATTAAATGGGATTGGATTAGATTCAATGGGACCACATCTCGTGGCATCGCACTGTGAGCCCAGGTACATTTCACACTCCATGTTTTGGCGTGTGAGGCCAGATGTTCTCAGAATACATTTCCATTGACTAAAGATCTGAAATCATTTCAAAGTTTTCATTAAAATAAAATTTCACAACACACAAATACACAGCGGACGATGTTGTCCTGTTGGCTTCATCGAACCAGGACCTGCAGCACTGGGGCGGTTTGCAGCCGAGTGTGAAGCGGCTGGGATGAAGATCAGCTCTTCCAAGTCCGAGGCCATGGTTCTCGACCGGAAAAAGGTGGCTTGCCCTCTCCGGGTGGGTGGGGAGTCTTTGCCTCAAGTGGAGGAGTTCAAGTATCTCGGGGTCTTGTTCACGAGTGAGGGAAGGACAGACGTGAGATTGACAGGCGGATCGGTGCAGCTTCGGCAGTGATGCGGTCGCTGTATCGGTCGTTGTGGTGAAGAGGAGCTGAGTCGAAAGGCGAAGCTCTCGATTTACCGGTCAGTCTTCGTTCCTACTCTCACCTCTGGTCATGAGTCTGGGTAGTGACCGAAAGGACGAGATCGCGGATACAAGCGCTCGAAATGAGTTTCCTCCGCAGGGTGGCTGGGCGCTCCCTTAGAGATAGGGTGAGGAGCTCAGTCACACGGGAGGAGCTCGGAGTAGAGCCGCTGCTCCTCCACGTCGAGAGGAGCCAGTTGAGGCTCGGGCATCTGTTCCGGATGCCTCCTGGGCGTCTCCCTCGGGAGGTGTTCTGGGCATGTCCCACCAGGAGGAGGCCCCGGGGAAGACCCAGGACACGCTGGAGGGACTATGTCTCTCGGCTGGCCTGGGAACACCTCGGGGTCCCCCCGGAGGAGCTGGAGGACGTGTCTGGGGTGAAGGAAGTCTGGGAGTCCCTGCTTAGGCTGCTCCCCCCGCGACCCGGCCCCGGATAAGCGGACGAAAATGGATGGATGGATGGACAAATACACAGTTGTTATAATGCTGCAGACATTATAAACATTCTCTTTGTATGTTCGATTTTATGAACTACAACATCAACCTGCCCAGAGACGAGAGCGACAGAAACTTCAAGACACGAGACACGAGACACGAGCCGCTGGTGGGAGACGGTGAAAGACACGATGAGACACTTTTTAGAAGAATGGAGAGGGAGAAAAAAAAAAGAAAACAGACACATGTTGGGACGACAGAGACGTTTACAACGTTATTTTAACCTTTTAGAACTTGGTTTTAATTGTAACGAAGAACTAAAAAAAGAGATGTCGGAGTTTGCAAAAATTAAAAGTAAAGGAATAATTTTAAGAGCGAGAGAAAAAGAACTGGAAGGAGAGAAATGTACATGATACTTTTTAAAGAAAATTTTAAACAAAAATAAGACCTTTTTAACCCTAAAAAAAGAAAATGGGGAACAAACAACACAAATAACAAGAAAAAAAAAAAAGTCGAATCCTTCGACACTTTAGGGGAAAAAAGAAATAGATTTTAACACCTTATAAGAAGTTTGAAAGTCCACTGGAAATGTTTTTATCAAACAGTGTGTTTTAACCCAAGATTTTACCCTTTTAGAGCTCAAGAAAAATATTCAACCATAATTAAAAAGTCACAAACCCTCAGGACCCAAGTCCATAGACATGATTCATAAATCACAAAATAAAGATGGATTTTTATATTATTGAACATTAAAGAGGATATTTTGTTGTTGACTGAGGGATCGAGTCTCTGAACTGTTTTAAACCATGAAAAACACTGACGCAGCAGTAAAAGGATCCAGAACTCTCCTATTTGGACATTAAATGTTGAACTTTTCATTTTCTTTTCAACATTCAACTGAACCTGCAATAGTGGAACAAAACAGTCTGTACAACTGCATCTACACGTATTTAAGATTTCATTCTGAACTGAAAAAGTGGCAAAAGATCAACTAAAGGAAACCAGAGGCTTTTCCGTCGTGTTCGAGCTCAGACCAGTTCATTCTGACTCAAACATTCAGGAGGAGCAGGAGAGTCCAGGAGCGTTTGACGGGTTTGCAGATGATCCTGGTCCAGCAGAAGTAAACAACAAGACCAAAACTTCAAGTGAATTCATCTGATATAAAAGTGTATTGAACAGATACATATGTACTCGAGTTTATCAAACTGTTCACCTTTTTTCTGGACCATTTTTGGTTGTAAAGTTCCATCTGTTTTAAACAGACCATGAATGAAACATGGAACAAAAATTATTTCCCAAATTTCAAAGACCTGAAAATCATGTAAATAAATGTTTGTATTTCATCATATCTTGTGTTATTCCATCTTTGAACTGTTGATGAAGGGACAGGATTAAAAAAAAAAAAAAAAAGTATTTAAAATGATAAAAATGTTCTTGGAAGGACTGACATATTTTATAGAAATAGTTTCTTTCATTTTGAAGTAATATTAAAGTATTTGGAAGAAAAAAGCCACAAATGATGTAAAATCCTGCACCTTCTACTTGTTTGTACAATTTTCCCTCCGTTACTTTTCCCTCCGTTACCATGAACTTTCTTCATAAAAAATCTCATGAGTCAAAAAGTCAGAGGTTTTTCAACCTAATCTTGTACCATATGGTAGAAAACTATATGAAGCAAATATTCAAACCAGTTTGTTAAGGATATGGAAGTGAGAACCAAGAGTTATCACTGTTTGGATTTATTGACCAAAAAGTGCTGCATATTTCATTCCCTCCGTTACCAACATGAGTTTTTAAATTTTTTGTCTTGAACTTGAAAGAATCTCACAGGTTTAACTTGACCCTGTTGGAGTGTAACTCTTTCCTACATTCTGATACTTTACTTATTTCAATAGTTCCTCTAGTTTCTGAATAAGAGACATTTGAATGTCAAACATCTGACCCTGTTTCCTCCGTTAACACTTGACTGAACCCTGATGTTTCCAGGAGCTGGTGTGAGGTACAGACTGTGGCCGGTCACATGCACGACTCACTGGAGGAAGCAGAAAGTCCAGAGAGATTTGACCGGACGCCTGAGACGAGAGGAAGGTTCAGTGAGGATTGTCCCTCTGGTCTGTGGGAGGAATGATCTGCCCACAGGTGGACGGCAGTGTGTTTGATCAGGGATCCATGGAAGAGTCGTGACAAAGAAATGAAAGTATCGAGTAACACAATAACGGCATTTAAGAAACACACAAAAACCTGTACAATATGTGTTGAGAAGACCAGGGCTAAATTACACAGCCTGGGCCTCACTACCTTTTTTCTAATCACTGTATCGACCCTCAGAAAATCACTCAGCTTTAAAGACACAATGCAAATAACTCTGACTACACTCAAAAAAGATCACATAGCTTTAAAACCACAATGCATGTTCAAAATATCATTTACTACACTCAAAAATATTGTTTAACTTTAAGAAACACCATACAGGTAACTTTAACAACTCTTAAAGTGTCACCTGGGAAACACTTACAACTCCACTTAGCTTTAGAAACCACCTCTGACCCTGTGATACTCTGTTCTCTGTCTGACAACATTTACCCAAAACTCATTTTTAACAGTGCCTCAAAGGATTTAACCAGATTTAGTTTTACACCAAAAACATTGCAAATATTAATTTATCCTTAGCAGTGCCTCAAAACCTTTAACCAAATTTAACTTTGCATCAAAAACATTGCATTTGTGTAAGTAACTCACCTGGGATGACTTGACTCGCTCGTGGTAAATATATATGTATAATAATGAAGGGAAAAGACTCAACAAAAGATTCCAACAAGTGATTTGTCTTTGTCTTATTTTATCTGCTTTTTATTGTTTAACGCACCACGAAAGTGACTGGTGTCACTCTTTATACTCGTGATCACTCAGGGTTTTAGGCTCACGACAGAGAACTTATAACCAACTCACTCTGTAGCCACTATTTTACCAGAAAGCTCATACAAAAATAATTAGGACAAATCACTTTGCAAGTACCTTTTGGAGAAATGACCCTGTGACCAGGAAAGCTGTAAAGCTCAGCCTAGTCCCAGTTAGAGATTCTGATCTCCTACGCCGAGTTACAGCCGCAGGGTCAATGCCGACCAAAATCAGGATCTGAGTTATTACGCAGAATTTTCAATATTTATCTAGGGTCACAGGGCTCCACCCAGGTACATGCAGATGATCAGTACGTCACATGTAGAACACATTTCCAAGTACAGGCAACACTTTTCAGAAACCACAGTCTTCACTGTTCTAGCCCCCAACGCTCCTCCCCCGGTGTGTGTGAAGTCACTGCCACCTCACTTTGTCCAAGGAGCAGGAAACTCGCACTCGCATTGTCTACAGGCCCCTCCCACCCGCCGCAGAACATACAGGTTTCATACATCAGTGTCAAATAAAGGTCAACTGTCAAAAGAACAGAAGGTCCTTGTCTTTCCTGCACACAAACATAACAGTTACAGAAATTAATGCAAAATAACCTAAACTTAAAAATTAAATTGAAAGAATTAAGCAAATCAACATAAAAGGAACAAATCAGATTAAATCAAAACAGAACAAGTAACTTATGTTAATATGGGTCAAAAAACACTTCTAATATCTAAATCAAACACTCTTAATCTCTAATGCTCTAACAGTTATTCATTTATCAAAATAAAGCATCATGAACATCTTCATCTGAACTCAGGAGCCAAAACCTTCATCTTTTCCCCCCACCTGAGTGGCTCTGCTGTGACCGAGGGGGGTTCACCACAATATGAAAAAAGAAAACTTGCTCAGATGTATTGATTGGAAATGTGGAAATTTATTTCAAACAATAAAAAACAGCACACAGAAAATATAAACCTCAAAGAGAAAAGACCCAGATTTATCCTCAAGCTCCTTTCCATGTGCAGTCCTCCAGCAGGTACACGACACATGACTTGTATCTTCATGTCTTTTTATACTTTAATACATTAAATTCAAATGAACAAATTAAACAAAGAAACAATTAAGGTAATTGTTTATCGTCCTGCATGAAGACCAGCGCCCCCAGCAGCAGAGAGAGGAGCCCCACGGCCCCCAGCCTCTTCAGCAGAGCCACAGTGTCTTTAGGAATGAGCAGCTGGGCCAGGAGGTTGGTGATGAGGGAGATCTCATGAGCCACACACACAAAGATGAAGCTACTGACCAGGATGTTGAGGGACGGGTTTCCAGGGATGAGCACTAAGATGCCCTTGGTGTCTGCTGCCAGCCAGATGTGGTACTGACAGATGAACAGCTGGACACAGCACATTTTGGGTTTAGTTTTACACTTCTGTACTTCTTCTTCTTTATACTTCACACTGAGACTCTGGATCTTACCTCCAAAGAGATTTTCCCAAACCAGGCAAAAAAGGAGCTGTAGACGGAGCGGGCGAAGCCGGGAATGTTCCTGATGAGGATGAAGGCCAGAATCTGAGGAGACACAGGAGCATCACAGAGAGGTCAGCACAAACTTTACCCTGTGGACTCCATTCAAATGGATGTGTGCAACCTGACATCTACAGCGGCCTCAGAGGACAAACACAAACAAAGATCAGTAACATCACGTCCACTCTGTTTGGAGGCCAACATCACCCACCGGGAGCACAGAGATGTAGGGGTGCATCTGGTTGCACTGGGCTTTGGTTTGGCAGTTACTGGCCCACACTGAGTACGTCTAAAGTAAAGAGGACACAAGATGTTAGGAAGCCTTCACTTTGCTGTGAGGAGCACTAGTGTGTCAGGTCTTCATCCAGAACCAACTACAGCCAGAGTCCAACACTTACGACGAAAGAGAGGCCAGACAGGAGCAGCAGGGGCAGGGAGACTTTAGCCGAGAACAGAGCTTCTCCTCTGGTCTCCGACAGCACCTGCTTCTTCTGAAGGAGCAGATAGAGGAAGGCAAACACCATCCCCTGTAGCACGGCCTGCAAACACACCAGCACTCACATCCACATCTACTGGAACAGAGCGGTCGTGGAGCTACGGCACCAAAGCACTTACAAACCGGTCCAGTCTCCAGCGGAACCACCACTCGCGAATGTCCCCGTCCAGTTGGAAGAGGCTGGAAAGCGGCCACGCCGTGAAGGTGCTCTCGAACACGCCCTGCACACAGGAACAATCACACCACATTCAACAGTTTTCCAACAGTGTTGAGGACACTGCCTCTGGAGGGACTGTGCTGTTACCTGTGAATAGGCAAAGAGGCAAATGAGCAGCAGGTCTCTCGTCTCTCGTCTCTCACTGTCTCCTGTCTCTTGTCTCGTGTCTCGTGTCTCGTCTCTCGTGTCTCGTGTCTCTTTCTCTCAGTTTGTGGTGTTGTTGTGACTGACTGACGCTGCATCATTAAACCATAAAACACTTTGATATTATCAGTTTAAAAAGTATGTCATGACATGTTATTCTTTGTGCCTGAGTTATTTGTGATTGATGTGTTTACTGATGTTTACAGTTGCAACACTGGAACAAAACCAGAAAGAGGAACAACTCGTATGGTGACATTCATTTCTCCCTCAGGCGATTCTTAAAAGTCAGGAGCCACACCTCTGAGGATAAAACCGCTCTTAATCTGAATAAATAAAACACACAGACTGTTTCAGTCGCTCAGTGTTTGGTGAAACTGGTTGATCCAAGATAAAGTTCAGTCCGGTAAGAGAACATTATTTGTAAAACAATAGTCTGGAAACAACTTATTGTCTTTTCATGTTTGGTGACGCCTCTGACATTCAGTCGAACAATTTAGTTCATTTTCATCTCGTCCTGCAGACATTATTTTTGGCTCTTTTTACTACTTTGCTCCTTGAATCTCTTTGGTTTGTTTCTCTGAGACATCTAACCATTTTAATTTATTTTTTTTATTACTGTTGTATTTTACAGTAGTAGTTTTCATGTTGACACTGGCTGTTTAAATAAATATTTGTGTGATTTATGTCCTTTGTGCTGGTGTCTCTGCTGCCAGTACTTTACTGTCAATAAAAACATACTGAAATATCCTGTATTTCACCAAAACAGTAATAAAGTGTAAAGTTATTTCACAGAACAAATGTTGTCAAATATCAGTAAAGGACTGTGTCTCTGCTGCAGCACTTTATCCTTATTTTACAGAGAAGTTCTTTACAGTGAGTCGGAGAGAATATTCTCAATATTAAACTCGACCTACACAAACTGCTGGGTCAAAATAACTCCCAGTTGTGTTGGTCCAAAAGTCCCCAGCTCTGGGTTTGACCTTTTACACTGTCTGTACCGAGCTCCTGATCTGGACTCTGGAGGAGCAGGAGCATCGTCATGTGTCACTGTCTGAAAATAAATGGTACAATAATAGACGACAGGTCGATCAGGTCGAGCAGTTTCACACCTCTGATGGTGATTTACAACGACACCAGGTGTGGCGTTCACCTCATTCACACTTGTGTATTCACATATATATAGAATTATATTTAATTTTATATATATATATATATATGATGCACCAATCCTAGATCACAGCCTCACCTGTGATCAGTTACTGATCAATCAGTTAGTGTTTGTGTATAAAAAGAACCCAGCAGAACCAGACCTTCACATCAACTGCAACTTGACCTCTGACAACATGCCTCAGATCCACCCTGAGACCAAAGCTTTAATTATCAAGAGGCTGAAAAGACGCCGCAAGACAACTGCTCGGGAGGAAAATCCAAGGCCCCTTTTCCACTGCAGCAGACTCCACCAGGCCTGGTCACCTCAAGTCCCTGTGTCCACCACAACAGTTTGTAGAATTCTGTCTGGAAATGGCCTCCATGGTCGAATCAGTGCACAGAAACCAGCACTAAACAAAAGGCAATTAAAAAACCGTGTGGCATTTGCCAAGGCCCACAGCCTGATAAAAGGATGGACACTGGAAAAGTGGCAGAAGGTGGATTTCTCAGATGAATCCTCGGTTGAATTACATCACAGCCGCCGCAAATATTGCAGGAGACCAACTGGAGCCACATGGATCCAAGATTCACCCAGAAAACAGTTAAGTTTGGTGGAGGAAAAATCCTGGTCTGTGGTTCCATCCAGTCTGGGGGTGTGTGAGACATTTGCAGGGTGGAAGGTAAATATCAATAACCTAAAATATCAAGAAGTATCAGCTCCTCTTACATTCCCAACCATAAAAGGGTCAGATTTTGCAGCAGGATGGTGCTCCATCACATACTTCTATCTCTACATCAAAGTTTGTCAAGGTGAAGAAGATCAAGGTGCTGCAGGACTGACCAGTCCAGTCACCAGACATGAACATCACTGAGCAGGTCTGGGGTAGAATGAAAGAGGAAACATGAAGACAAAACCAAAGACTCTTGATGAACTCTGGGAGGCTGTAAGACGCTTTCTTTACTATTCCTGATGACTTCATCAACAAACTGTATGAATCATTGTGGAACCACATGGATGTGTCCTTCAAGCTCATGGAGTCATACAAGATATTAAATCTGATCTCACAGCATCACGACTTCATTCACTGACGTTATGCAACAGATTTTTGTATTTGAAGTCAATTATTTGTTCAATTTTCTGTAGGCGACAAAACTTTTGTCTTTCCAAAATCTGACCTTTCTGTGTTCATTAAATGATCAATGTTTCTTCAGTGAAGAACATTTATTTTAGTTTATTGAACATAATTTGGGAGGGTTTTAGCTTCATATGAGACATTTCTAAAACCAATCGATTAATTTAAAGTCAGGTTATAAGCTTTTGTTTCTACAAAATGGATAAACAACAAGACTTTTGTCAGGGACTGTGTGTATAATTATATATATATATATATATATATATATATATATATATATATATATAATTATATGTAACATTTGTCTTTAAAACAAGTGCCGCTGCATCTCTCCAGCTCTCACTGTGGCAGCTCAGGTCAGAGTCCCGCACCAGGTCGGGTCAGAGTCCCGCACCAGGTCGGGTCAGAGTCCCGCACCAGGTCGGGTCAGACTCCCGCACCAGGTCGGGTCAGAGTCCCGCACCAGGTCGGGTCAGAGTCCCGCACCAGGTCGGGTCAGACTCCCGCACCAGGTCGGGTCAGAGTCCCGCACCAGGTCGGGTCAGACTCCCGCACCAGGTCGGGTCAGAGTCCCGCACCAGGTCGGGTCAGAGTCCCGCACCAGGTCGGGTACCTGTGGACTTAAGAGAGAGAGAACCCTGAGCCCGTGGAGCAGCAGCTCTATGTCGATCCTTTCTCCTGTGGTCACCCGATGGTCTACAGAGGTGCACCTTAGTCCTGGGTTAGTCCTGAGTTAGACCCAGGACTGAGTTTAAAACTCATAATTATGACTTTTAAACTCATAATTATGACTTTCTGTGAAGCGTTTATTTCTTATTTACTGGTGGAAATGGGCTTCCATAGTTTACAGACGGACTGACAACAAAGAACACGTCCAGCTGCTGAAACATAGAACATTACAACCACATCCAGATGAAACATCAGTCTGTCAGTTACAGAAGTGACTCCGACGTGACGTTTTGATCACACACAAACACCTGATCCTATTTGACGCTGTCATGACTGCACTTGTTTTTGTTCACTGACAACACGAAGTGTCCAGATCCTGAAACATGAGCCGCTCAAACCAGAGGATTTATAGAAAATATACTGCTCTTTTGGTGAGTTCAGTTATTCCTCAAACTCTTTCCCCACACTGACTCCTGTGAGCTCGGGCTCTGTGTCCCATTCACATTTTCTTTTTCTTTGCTCTTTGGACAAAAGTTTCCTCTGTCTGAGCTGATGTGCCGTGACTGACACCTCACAAATAAACAACAGAGATTTATTCTTGTAGTGAAGTGCAGAGCGCGTCAGTAAGGGGAGGGTCACAGCTCGGTTACCTGTGTGTATGTTGAATTTGGCTCTCGAGGGAACAAGATCAGAGCCCTGAGAGCCGACACCATCACAGACACATGTGGCTTTTCCACCCAGAGACACCTGGGGGCGCCAGAGAACCTTCAAACCCCCCTAAATGTCATGTGTGACCACCAGAGGGCCTTTGAAAGACATTAATTCAGGTGAAAATGTTACTTAGTTCTGCTTTAAATAATACTGACCTATACACACAACCAGACCCACGTCACATGGAGCATGTTGTTTGTGCCACGTCCCTTTTAGGGGGAAAATGATCCTCAGAGCCAAAAAGTTCTGTCTTCTTGTCTGTTGTTGTTCACGTTAAACCTGCTGAAGAGTTTCTGTGTGGTTGGTGAACAAACAATTAAACTAAAAAACCTTCAACCTTCAAGTTCATTCCACATGTCCACAAAAACATCTGCACCTTAACCCAGGAGCAGGTCACAGCTTCTACTGGCAAATAAATATTGGCCTAGTTAATAAAATCTTTATTTAATTATAATATTGTTCATTAGTCTTCAAGAGACAAACAGCTACACTGGAAATGAATCTGAGCAAAGGAAACAGAAATGTAGGTGAACAGTTTTCGGCTCTGACAGAAATGATGTGAGCTCTAAATGAACGAGCTAATGTACTTTAAACCTGAGTCTGTGAGTCAAATATACTTTATTAAAATTCAAATATAAAGGCAAAAATACAGGAAAACAATTTCTCACCTGGAGACTCAGTGAGATTAGAGTAAAAGTGCAGGTTTAAGTGCAGCTGTTGTTCTTTGTACATGAGACTAAAGGAGCAGGTTTTATATTCATTTCATTTAACTTTTGTGTCTTTCACAGTGACCGAGCGGCAGAGTGCTCATGTCCTGAGTATTCATGTTGATTTGGTGTATTTTCTGTTATTATCTGCACCTGGAGTTGTGTAAAAATCACGTTTATTGACGTTATTTGACATTAAAGTTCATGAGGTTTGTTTGTTTTCGTCTCACCAGGCAAGTTCCCGGATGTGCCGCTCTAACGTACAGAACGTTGTGACGTCATGTGAAAACTGTACACAGTATGTGGGCGGGGCCAAAGCGTGCTCTGCGTCACGACGCACGCCTCTGCGTCAGTCTGCTTGTTGTCATGGAGGAGCAAAGATGGCGACCCTGGCTTATAGCCTGGGCAAACGCGAAATAAATCAATATTTCACCATTAAAAACGCTAAAGTCATCTCCGTGTTCCTCGCGCTCGTGCTGCTGCTGCTCCACTCCTCTGCGCGCGTGCTCATCGGTAAGCGCGGCCTCGTTTTTCCTGCGGACGGAGGAGAATCTGTGCTAATGCTACTGTTAGCCTCGCTTCGTATTGTCTGAACATTATGTCACCAAAACTACAGAATTCTGCGGACAAAAGAGCCACGGGAACCTCCGTGTCCCCGCGGCTCCTCAGCTCCGTCCCCGTGAATCTGTCCCGGAGCCGCGTGCACGGACACGGGACACGGACAGGGGGCACGGGACACGGACAGGGGGCACGGGACACGGACAGGGGGCACGGGACACGGACACGCCACGGACATTGACACGCCACGGACACGTGCACGGACACGGGCTGTTTAGCATCAGCTGCTGTTAACCGCACTGATGTTACACACTTTACAGATGTTACACACTTTACAGATGTTACACACTTTACAGATGTTACACACCTCACACACCTTACACATGTGACTGTGTTTTAACCCAAGTGTGCACGTGCATGTGTCCCTCAGGCTCAGACTCGTGCACGTGGCTCCTGTCCACGGGACGTTTCCTGCGGAACAGAGTGTGGCAGCCCGATGGCTGCATGATGCACAGGTACAACCACAGGTGAGTGCGGCAGAGGAGCCTGGGTCTGGGTGACTGTGGGTGACTGTGGGTGACTGTGGGTGACTGTGGGTGACTGTGGGTGACTGTGGGTGACTGTGGTGTGTTTTTCGGGGCCTCTAATCTGGTGTTAATGAGAGACGCTCACCTGTCCCCTGTCACCTGTCCCCTGTCACCTGTCCCCTGTCTCCTGTCCCCTGTCTCCTGTCCCCTGTCATCTGTCCGTCACAGGGAGGCCAGCACCTGCCTCGATGGGAAGAAGGTTCTCTTCATCGGTGACTCCCGGATCAGAGCTCTGTTTGTGTCGTTCGTCAGTATCATCGCGTCTCAGAGGCAGTTTCCCGTAAAGGTGAGGACGAGTGTGGACGGAGCCGGCTTTGGTTTAGTTTAGTTTAGTTTGGTCTGGTTTAGTTTGGTTTAGTTTGGTTTAGTTTAGTTTAGTTTAGTTTGGTTTAGTTTGGTTTAGTTTAGTTTAGTTTAGTTTGGTTTAGTTTAGTTTGGTTTAGTTTAGTTTAGTTTAGTTTAGTTTGGTTTAGTTTAGTTTGGTTTGGTTTAGTTTGGTTTAGTTGGTTTAGTTTAGTTTGGTTTAGTTTAGTTTGGTTTAGGTTTAGTTTGGTTTGGTTTAGTTTAGTTTAGTTTAGTTTGGTTTAGTTTGGTTTAGTCTGGTTTAGTTTGGTCTGGTTTAGTTTAGTTTGGTTTGGTTTAGTTTGGTTTAGTTTAGTTTTGGTTTAGTTTGGTTTAGTTTAGTTTGGTTTAGTCTGGTTTAGTCTGGTTTGGTTTAGTTTGGTCTGGTTTAGTTTAGTTTGGTCTGGTTTAGTTTTAGTTTAGTTTAGTTTGGTTTAGTTTAGTTTGGTTTAGTTTAGTTTGGTTTAGTTTGGTTTAGTTTTTGGTTTAGTTTGGTTTAGTTCGGTTTAGTTTAGTTTGGTTTAGTCTGGTTTAGTTTAGTTTAGTTTAGTCTGGTTTAGTTTGGTCTGGTTTAGTTTAGTTTGGTTTGGTTTAGTTTGGTTTAGTTTGGTTTAGTTTGGTTTGGTTTAGTTGGTTTAGTTGGTCTGGTTTAGTTTAGTTTGGTCTGGTTTAGTTTAGTTTGGTCTGGTTTAGTTTAGTTTGGTCTGGTTTAGTTTAGTTTAGTTTGGTTTAGTTTAGTTTAGTTTGGTTTAGTTTAGTTTAGTTTGGTTTAGTTTAGTTTGGTTTAGGTTTGGTTTAGTTTAGTTTAGTTTAGTTTGGTTTGGTTTGGTTTAGTTTGGTTTAGTTTAGTTTAGTCTGGTTTAGTTTGGTCTGGTTTAGTTTAGTTTGGTCTGGTTTAGTTTAGTTTAGTTTGGTTTAGTTTAGTTTAGTCTGGTTTAGTTTGGTCTGGTTTAGTTTGGTTTAGTTTGGTTTAGTTTTACCGTGTGTTTGTGTCCGGACAGAGACATGCAGACATCTCCTTTAAAGACAACAGCTCCACGGCTCAAGTGGTGAGTTCTTTTGACTGGAACATGTTTCTTTCTGTCTCGCTGCTTTGAAGAAACATGTTTCTTTGACATTTGACAGGATTTTGTGTGGAGCCCTTGGACAAATAACTCAATGAAGGAGCGTTTAATCTCAGCGTCCAATGTGAGTAAAGTGTTTGTCACACAAAGGGCACGAGTCCTTCTCTCACCTCTTCTGTGCTCCTCGTTGCAGGCACCAGTAAAGCCTGACGTCCTGATCGTCGGAGCCGCTTCAGTAAGTCGGACGCTCTGCCGCTTAGACACAATCCTCCTGTAACGTGTGTTTGAATGGAGCCTGTGTGTGTTTAACCAGTGGATCATCAGAGACTTCAAGGGGAGCGCAGAGGGTCTGCACCAGTACAAAGTCAACCTGACCTCCATGTCTCCTGCTCTGGAGAGGCTGGCCCAGCACGCAGACGTCTACTGGCACATTCAAGGTCAGCGTGTGTCATCACTGTGGGCTTTTTCCTGCTCTTATCAGCGACACATCTGGGCAGCGACACATTTCTACTCCAGGTTTTCAGGAAACACAAAATGTTGCTAATGTGATTAAATCGAGAGACTTTAGATGTTTGAGCTTCTGTGTGGGAGCTGGAGAACAGACGAGTTCTGATTGAACTGGAGGTTGTCATGTAATTCATGATGAAAATAATGCACTATTTTGTGCATTTTTTGGGGACGTTGTCCGGCGGTGGAAGGAATACTTTGAGGATCCCCTCAATCCTACCGTCACGTCTTCCGAGGAGGAGGCCGAGGCTGGGGACTTGGAGACGGACTCATCCATCACCCTGGCTGAAGTCACTGAGGTGGTTGGAAAGCTCCTTGGTGGCAAGGCTCCGGGGTTGGATGAGATCCGTCCTGAGTACCTTAAGTCTCTGGATGTTGTGGGTCTTGGCTGACACGCCTCTTCAACATCGCGTGGCGGTCGGGGACAGTACCTCTGGCCTGGCAAACCGGGGTGGTGGTCCCTCTGTATAAGAAGGGGGACCGGAGGGTGTGTTCCAACTATAGGGGGATCACACTCCTCACCCTTCCCGGTAAGGTCTATGCCAGGGAACTGGAGAGAAGAATTCGGCCGATGGTCGAACCTCGGATTCAGGAGGAGCAGTGAGGTTTTGGTCCTGGCCGTGGAACACTGGACCAGCTCTACACTCTCCATCGGTGCTCGAGGTTCATGGGAGTTTGCCCAACCAGTCCACATGTGTTTTGTGGACTTGGAGAAGGCATTCGACCGTGTCCCTCGTGGTGTCCTGTGGGGGGTGCTCTGGGAGTATGGGGTCCGGGGCCCTTTGCTAAGGGCTGTCCGGTCCCTGTATGACCGGAGCAGGAGCTGTGTTCATTGCCGGCAGTAAGTCAGACCTGTTCCCGGTGCATGTTGGACTCCGCCAGGGCTGCACCTTTGTCACCGGTTCTGTTCATTGTATTTATGGACAGAATTTCTAGGCGCAGTCAGGGGCCGGAGGGGGTCCGGTTCGGGGACCACAGGATCATCTCTGCTGTTTGCAGACGATGTTGTCCTGTTGGCTTCATCAAACCAGGACCTGCAGCACTGGGGCGGTTTGCAGCCGAGTGTGAAGCGGCTGGGATGAAGATCAGCTCTTCTAAGTCTGAGGCCATGTTTCTCAACCGGAAAAAGGTGTCTTGGGTGGAGAGTCTCTGCCTCAAGTGGAGGAGTTCAAGTGTCTCGGGGTCTTGTTCACGAGTGAGGGGAGGATGGAACGTGAGATTGACAGGCGGATCAGTGCAGCGTCTGCAGTGATGCGGTCGCTGTATCGGACCGTTGTGGTGAAGATTTACCGGTCAGTCTTCGTTCCTCCTCTCACCTCTGGTCATGAGCTCTGGGTAGTGACCGAAAGGACGAGATCGCGGATACAAGTGCTCAAAATGAGTTTCCTCCGCAGGGTGGCTGGGCGTCTCCCTTAGAGATAGGGTGAGGAGCTCAGTCACACGGGAGGAGCTCGGAGTAGAGCCGCTGCTCCTCCACGTCGAGAGGAGCCAGTTGAGGCTCGGGCATCTGTTCCGGATGCCTCCTGGGCGTCTCCCTCGGGAGGTGTTCTGGGCATGTCACACCGGGAGGAGGCCCCGGGGAAGACCCAGGACACACTGGAGGGACTATGTCTCTCGGCTGGCCTGGGAACGCCTCGGGGTCCCCCCGGAGGAGCTGGAGGACGTGTCTGGGGTGAAGGAAGTCTGGGAGTCCCTGCTTAGGCTGCTGCCCCCGCGACCCGACCCCGGATAAGCGGACGAAAATGGATGGATGGATTTTGTGCATTATTCATCCTCTATTGTGCTGCTAAACCACCACACTCATACAAGGCCATGTGGTGCCTTGCTCAAGAGCACAATGACGACAGTGAGTTTTTGAGAGATCCAATGTTTTCAGGCTCGAGGTTACGTCATTCCAGTATAAAAATGGGAAGATAAAATAGTATTTTAGTCATTTAATCACCACTGGACACTGTGGCTTCTGTCTTATCACTGGAGACAAAGAAAACAGTTCTGAGCAGAAGAACCACGGTCACACCTCTGTGTGTTTGAGGAGCAGGAGGAGGGTTGATCTGCTCAGATCTACAGCTGCTTAGACACAAACTCACAAGAGTAAAAACACAACCAGAGTCTGAGAGGACATCAGTAACTCTGATACTGTCCTCTCTGCTGCTCCTCCCACGGCCGACTGCAGGAGCTCTCACTCTCTCTGTCTCACTCTCTCTGTCTCACTCTCTCTGTCTCACTCTCTCTGTCTCACTCTCTCTGTCTCACTCTCTCTGTCTCACTCTCTCTCTCTCTCTCTGTCTCACTCTCTCTGTCTCACTCTCTCTGTCTCACTCTCTCTCTCACTCTCTCTGTCTCACTCTCTCTGTCTCACTCTCTCTGTCTCACTCTCTCTGTCTCACTCTGTCTCACTCTCTCTGTCTCACTCTCTCTGTCTCACTCTCTCTGTCTCACTCTCTCTGTCTCACTCTCTCTGTCTCAGTGTCTCTGTCTCAGTGTCTCTGTCTCAGTGTGTGTCTCAGTGTGTCTCAGTGTGTCTCTGAGTGTCTCAGTGTGTCTCAGAGTGTCTCAGAGTGTCTCAGTGTGTGTCTGTGTGTCTGTGTGTATGTGTGTCTCAGAGTGTCTCAGAGTGTCTCAGTGTCTCAGTGTCTGTGTGTCTCAGTGTGTCTAGTGTGTGTCTCAGAGTGTCTCAGAGTGTGTCTCAGTGTCTCATGTGTATGTGTGTCTCAGTGTGTCTCAGTGTGTCTCAGTGTGTCTCAGTGTGTCTCAGAGTGTCTCAGTGTGGTCTGTGTGTCTGTGTGTCTCAGTGTGTGTCTGTGTGTGTCTCAGTGTGTCTCAGTGTGTCTCAGAGTGTCTCAGTGTGTCTCAGAGTGTCTCAGTGTGTGTCTGTGTGTGTCTGTGTGTGTCTCAGTGTGTCTCAGTGTGTCTCAGAGTGTCTCAGAGTGTCTCAGAGTGTCTCAGAGTGTCTCAGTCTGTGTGTGTCTCAGTGTGTCTCAGTGTGTGTGTGTGTGTGTGTGCAGAGCCGGTGAACTGGAGGGCCCTGAGTGCGAGCAGGAGGATGATCACAGATCAGCAGATCGACCTGTACAATGAAGCAGCGGCGGAGGCTCTGTCCTTCGGGCGCTCTCTCGTCCGGCCGCTCTCCGTGTCCCGTCTGGCGGCTCTGGAGACTCTGAACCAGTCGTCTGACGGGCTGCACATGGCGGACAGCAGCGTGGACGTGGTGAGGAGCTGAAGTCAAACATGAGAGTGAACTGTGGTGTTACATGAACGTGACCCTCGTGTGTGTGTGTGTTACATGAACGTGACCCTCGTGTGTGTGTGTGTTACATGAACGTGACCCTCGTGTGTGTGTGTTACATGAACGTGACCCTCGTGTGTGTGTGTGTTACATGTGACTGTGTGTGTGTGTGTGTTACATGAACGTGACCCTCGTGTGTGTGTGTGTGTGTTACATGAACGTGACCCTCGTGTGTGTGTGTGTGTGTGTTACATGAACGTGACCCTCGTGTGTGTGTGTGTGTGTTACATGAACGTGACCCTCGTGTGTGTGTGTGTGTGTGTGTTACATGAACGTGACCCTCGTGTGTGTGTGTGTGTTACATGAACGTGACCCTCGTGTGTGTGTGTGTGTGTGTTACATAAACGTGACCCTCGTGTGTGTGTGTGTGTTACATGAACGTGACCCTCGTGTGTGTGTGTGTTACTAAACTTGACCCTCGTGTGTGTGTGTGTGTGTTACATAAACGTGACCCTCGTGTGTGTGTGTGTGTGTTACATGAACGTGACCCTCGTGTGTGTGTGTGTGTGTTACATGAACTTGACCCTCGTGTGTGTGTGTGTTACATGAACGTGACCCTCGTGTGTGTGTGTGTGTTACATGAACGTGACCCTCGTGTGTGTGTGTGTGTTACATAAACTTGACCCTCGTGTGTGTGTGTGTGTGTTACATGAACGTGACCCTCGTGTGTGTGTGTGTGTGTTACATAAACGTGACCCTCGTGTGTGTGTGTGTGTTACTAAACTTGTGTGTGTGTGTGTGTTACATGAACGTGACCCTCGTGTGTGTGTGTGTTACATGAACGTGACCCTCGTGTGTGTGTGTGTTACTAAACTTGACCCTCGTGTGTGTGTGTGTGTGTTACATAAACGTGACCCTCGTGTGTGTGTGTGTGTGTGTTACATAAACTTGACCCTCGTGTGTGTGTGTGTTACATGAACGTGACCCTCGTGTGTGTGTGTGTTACATAAACTTGACCCTCGTGTGTGTGTGTGTGTTCTCAGGGGGCCATGGCCTTAATGAACAGTGTGTGTAACAAAGTGATCCGGCCCATTGACGGTTCCTGCTGCCAGAACTCGCCCCCGCTCACTTTTCTCCAGAAGATGGCGCTGTGTTTGTTTGTGGCCTCCACTCTACTTTTCTTGCTGTTCCACTTTCTGAGGAAACGGCCCCATCGGCGGCCCCCGGCCCCCGACCCGGAGAGTTTAGAGGAGAAGAAGCCGGCTACGGCCCCCGGGCCCCCGGGGGCCGAGGCGGCGTGCGGGGCCCTGTGCAGAATGGGGCTCATCATGGTTTACTTCTACCTGTGTGACAGAGCAGACGTGTTTATGAAGGAACAGAAATGTTACAGTCACTCGGCCTTCTTCATCCCTCTGATCAATGTGTTTGTGCTGGGAGTGTTCTGCAGCGAGAGCACCAAAGAGGTGAGTCCTGTGTCCTCTGTGTCCTCTGTGTCCTCTGTGTCCTCTGTGTCCCTCTGTGTCCTCTGTGTCCCTCTGTGTCCCTCTGTGTCCCTCTGTGTCCTCTGTGTCCCTCTGTGTCCCTCTGTGTCCCTCTGTGTCCCTCTGTGTCCCTCTGTGCCTCTGTGTCCCTCTGTGTCCCTCTGTGTCCCTCTGTGTCCCTCTGTGTCCCTCTGTGTCCCTCTGTGTCCCTCTGTGTCCCTCTGTGTCCCTCTGTGTCCCTCTGTGTCCTCTTTGTCCTCTGTGTCCCTGTGTGTCGTTTCCCTGTGTGTCGTGTCTCTGTGTGTCGTGTCACTGTGTGTCGTGTCTCTATGTGTCGTGTCTCTGTGTGTCGTGTCCCTGTGTGCGTGTCCTTGTGTGTCGTGTCCCTGTGTGTCGTGTCCCTGTGTGTGTGTCCCTGTGTGTCGTGTCTCTGTGTGTCGTGTCTCTGTGTGTCATGTCTCTGTGTGTCATGTCCCTGTGTGCGTGTCCCTGTGTGTCTGTGACTGTGTGTGTCCCTGTGTGTCGTGTCTCTGTGTGTCGTGTCTCTGTGTGTCGTGTCTCTGTGTGTGTGTGTGTGTGTCCCTGTGTGTCGTGTCCCTGTGTGTCATGTCCCTGTGTGTGTGTCCCTGTGTGTCGTGTCCCTGTGTGCGTGTCCCTGTGTGTCGTGTCCTGTGTGCCTGTCCCTGTGTGTCTGTGACTGTGTGTGTGTCCCTGTGTGTCATGTCCCTGTGTGTCGTGTCTCTGTGTGTCGTGTCCCTGTGTGTCGTGTCCCTGTGTGTCTGTGACTGTGTGTCGTGTCCTCTGTGTGTCGTGTCCCTGTGTGTCGTGTCTCTGTGTGTGTGTCCCTGTGTGTCTGTGACTGTGTGTGTGTGTCCCTGTGTGTCGTGTCTCTGTGTGTCGTGTCTGTGTGTCGTGTCTCTGTGTGCGTGTCCCTGTGTGTCGTGTCTCTGTGTTGTGTCTGTGTGTCTGTGTGTCGTGTCTGTGTGTCGTGTCTCTGTGTGTCTCTGTGTGTGTGTCCCTGTGTGCTGTCCCTGTGTCGTGTCCTGTGTGTGTCGTGTCTCTGTGTGCGTGTCCCTGTGTGTCGTGTCTCTGTGTGTGTGTCTCTGTGTGTCGTGTCTCTGTGTGTCGTGTCTCTGTGTGTCGTGTCTCTGTGTGTCGTGTCCCTGTGTGCGTGTCTCTGTGTGTCGTGTCCTGTGTGTCGTGTCCCTGTGTGTTTGTCCCTGTGTGTCTGTGACTGTGTGTCGTGTCTCTGTGTGTCGTGTCTCTGTGTGCGTGTCCCTGTGTGTGGTGTCTCTGTGTGTCGTGTCTCTGTGTGTCGTGTCTCTGTGTGTTTGTGTGTGTGTGTGTCGTGTCCTGTGTGTCGTGTGTGTGTTGTCTCTGTGTGCGTGTCCCTGTGTGTCTGTCTGTGACTGTGTGTCTGTGTGTCGTGTCCTGTTGTGTGTGTCTCTGTGTGTCGTGTCTCTGTGTGTCGTGTCCCTGTGTGTGTGTCGTGTCCCTGTGTGTCGTGTCTCTGTGTGTCGTGTCTCTGTGTGTCGTGTCTCTGTGTGTCGTGTCTCTGTGTGTCGTGTCCCTGTGTGTCGTGTCTCTGTGTGTCGTGTCTCTGTGTGTCGTGTCCCTGTGTGTCGTGTCTCTGTGTGTGGTGTCTCTGTGTGTCGTGTCTCTGTGTGTCGTGTCTCTGTGTGTCTGTGACTGTGTGCGTGTCCCTGTGTGTGTGTGACTGTGTGTCGTGTCTCTGTGTGTCGTGTCTCTGTGTGTGTGTCCCTGTGTGTGTGTCTGTGTGTGTCTGTGTGTCCCTGTGTGTGTGTCCTGTGTCGTGTCGTGTCCCTGTGTGTGTCGTGTCTGTGTGTGTGTGTGTCTGTGTGTGTCTGTGTGTGTGTCCCTGTGTGTCCCTGTGTGTCGTGTCTGTGTGTGTGTGTCCTGTGTGTCGTGTCCCTGTGTGTCGTGTCTGTGTGTCGTGTCTGTGTGTGTCGTGTCCCGTGTGTGTCCCTGTGTGTCTGTGACTGTGTGTGTGTCTGTGTGTGTCTGTGTGTCGTGTCCTGTGTGTCCCGTGTCTCTGTGTGTCGTGTCCCTGTGTGTGTCGTGTCTCTGTGTGTGTGTGTCTCTGTGTGTCGTATCTGTGTGTCGTGTCTCTGTGTGTCTGTGACTGTGTGCGTGTCCCTGTGTGTCTGTGACTGTGTGTCGTGTCTCTGTGTGTCGTGTCGTGTGTGTGTTGTGTGTGTCCTGTGTGTCGTGTCTCTGTGTGTCTGTGACTGTGTGCGTGTCCGTGTGTCTGTGTCCTGTGTGTGTCGTGTCCCTGTGTGTCGTGTCCCTGTGTGTCGTGTCCCTGTGTGTCGTGTTCTGTGTGTCCTGTGTGCCCTGTGTGTGTGTCTGTGTGTCGTGTCTCTGTGTGTCTGTGTCTCGTGTGTGTGTGTGTCTGTGTGTGTGTGTCTCTGTGTGTCGTGTCCCTGTGTGTGTGTCCCGTGTGTGTCCTGTGTGTCGTGTCTCTGTGTGTCGTGTCCCTGTGTGTGTGTCTCTGTGTGTGTGTGTGTGTCTGTGTGTCGTGTCTGTGTGTGTGTCTCTGTGTGTGTGTCGTGTCTCTGTGTGTCTGTGTGTCTCTGTGTGTCGTGTCTCTGTGTGTGTCGTGTCCCTGTGTGTCGTGTCCCTGTGTGTCGTGTCTCTGTGTGTGTCGTGTCGTGTCTGTGTGTGTCTGTGTCTCTGTGTGTCGTGTCCCTGTGTGTGTGTCTGTGTGTGTGTCTGTGTGTGTGTCTGTGTGTCGTGTCTCTGTGTGCGTGTCCCTGTGTGTGTCTCTGTGTGTGTGTCTCTGTGTGTGTCGTGTCTGTGTGTCTGTGTGTGTGTCTCTGTGTCTCTGTGTCTGTTGTGTGTGTGTCTCCTGTGTGTCGTGTCTCTGTGTGTCTGTGTGTCTCTGTGTGCGTGTCCCTGTGTGTGTGTCTGTGTGTCGTGTCTCTGTGTGTCGTGTCTCTGTGTGCGTGTCTCTGTGTGCGTGTCTCTGTGTGTTGTGTGTCCCTGTGTGTGTCTCTGTGTGTGTGTCTGTGTGTGTCTCTTGTGTGTGTCGTGTCCTCTGTGTGTCGTGTCTCTGTGTGTCGTGTCTGTGTGTGTCTCTGTGTGCGTGTCCCTGTGTGTCGTGTCTCTGTGTGTGTGTGTGTGTCCCTGTGTGTCTGTGTGTCTGTGTGTCGTGTCTCTGTGTGTCGTGTCTCTGTGTGTCGTGTTCTGTGTGCTGTGTCTGTGTGTGTGTGTGTGTGCGTGTCTCTGTGTGCGTGTCCCTGTGTGTGTCGTGTCCCTGTGTGTCGTGTCTCTGTGTGTCTGTGTGTGTGTGTGTGTCTGTGTGTGTCGTGTGTGTGTCTGTCTGTGTGCGTGTCTCTGTGTGTGTGTGGCGTGTCTCTGTGTGTCGTTCTGTGTGTCTCTGTGTGTGTGTCTGTGTGTCTCTGTGTTGTGTGTGTCTCGTGCGTGTCTCTGTGTGTCGTGTCCCTGTGTGTCGTGTCTCTGTGTGTCGTGTCTGTGTGTCGTGTCGTGTGTCTCTGTGTGTGTCTCTGTGTGTCGTGTCTCTGTGTGCGTGTGTCTGTGCGTCGTGTCCTGTGTCGTGTCTGTGTCCTGTGTGTCGTGTCTGTGTGTCGTGTCTCTGTGTGTCGTGTCTCTGTGTGTCGTGTCTCTGTGTGGTGTCGTGTCTCTGTGTGTCGTGTGTCGTGTCTCTGTGTGCGTGTCCTGTGTGTGCTGTGTGTCTGTGTCTGTCGTGTCCCTGTGTGTCGTGTCTCTGTGGTGTGTGTCCCTGTGTGTGTCCGTGTGTGTGTCTCGTGTCTCTGTGTGTGTGTCTCTGTGTGTGTCTGTGTGTGTCGTGTCGTGTCTCTGTGTGTGTGTCGTGTCTCTGTGTGTGTGTCGTGTCTCTGTGTCTGTGTGTCGTGTCCCTGTGTGTCGTGTCTCTGTGTGTGTGTCTCTGTGTGTCTGTGTCTCTGTGTGTGTGTCTCTGTGTGTGTGTGTCGTGTCTCTGTGTGTGTCTGTGACTGTGTGTCGTGTCTCTGTGTGTCGTGTCTCTGTGTGTCCGTGTCGTGTCTGTGTGTGTGTCGTGTGTCGTGTCTGTGTGTGTGTCTGTCTCTGTGTGTCGTGTCTCTGTGTCGTGTCTCTGTGCGTGTCTCTGTGTCTGTCTGTGTCTGTGTCTGTGTGTCTCCGTGTCTCTGTGTGTCGTCTGTCGTGTCTGTGTCGTGTGTGTCGTGTCTGTGTGTCGTGTCGTGTGTCCCGTGTGTGTCTGTGTCTGTCTGTGTGTGTCTGTGTGTGTGTCTCTGTTGTGTCGTGTCTGTGTGTGTGTGTCGTGTCTCTGTGTGTGTCGTCCTGTGTGTGTGTCTGTGTGTGTCTCTGTGTGCGTGTCCCTCGTGTCTCTGTGTGTCTGTGTCTGTGTGTGTCTGTGTCGGTCTGTGTGTGTTCGTGTCTCTGTGTGTCTGTGTGTCGTGTGTGTCGTGTCTCTGTGTGTCGTGTCTCTGGTGTCGTGTCCCGTGGTGTGTGTCCTGTGTGTCGTGTCTCTGTGTGCGTGTCTCCTGTGTGTCTGTGTCGTGTCTCTGTGTCGTGTGTGTCTCTGTGTGTGTCGTGTCTCGTGTGTCGTGTCTGTGTGTCGTGTCGTGTCTGTGTGTGTGTCTCTGTGTGTGTGTGTGTGTTCGTGTCCCCTGTGTGTCGTGTCTCTGTGTGTCGTGTCCCTCGTGTGTCGTGTCTCTGTGTGTCGTGTCCTCTGTGTGTCGTGTCTCTGTGTGTGTCCCTGTGTGTGTGTGTCTCTGTGTGTGTGTGTCTCTGTGTGCGTGTGCCTGTGTGTCTTGTGTGTGTCGTCTGTGTCGTGTCTGTGTGTGTGTCTGTGTGTCCTCTGTGTGTCGTGTCTCTGTGTGTCGTGTCTGTGTGTGTCTCTGTGTGTCGTGTCTCTGTGTCGTGTCTCTGTGTGTCGTGTCTCTCGTGTCGTCTCTGTGTCGTGTCTCTGTGTGTGTCGTGTGTCTCTGTGTGTGTCCCTGTGTGTGTGTCGTGTCTCTGTGTGTCGTGTCTCTGTGTGTGTCTGTCTGTGTGTCGTGTCGTTCTGTGTCGTGTCTCTCGTGTGTCGTGTCTCTGTGTGTCGTGTCTCTGTGTGTGTGTGTCGTCGTGTCCTGTGTGTGCTGTGTCGTGTCTCTGTGTGTCGTGTCTCTGTGTGTCGTGTCTGTGTGTGTGTCTGTGTGTGTCTCTGTGTGTCGTGTCGTGTCGTGTCTCTGTGCTGTGTGTCGTGTCTGTGTCGTGTCTCTGTGTGTCGTGTCTCTGTGTGTCGTGTCTCTGTGTGTGTCTGTGTCTCTGTGTGTGTGTCTGTGTGTGTGTGTGTCTCTGTGTGTGTGTGTGTCTCGTGTGTGTCGTGTCTCGTGTGTGTGTGTGTCGTGTCTCTGTGTGTGTGTGTGTGTCTGTGTGTCTCTGTGTGTGTGTCTGTGTGTCTCTGTGTGTGTGTCTCTGTGTGTCTCGTGTCTGTGTGTGTGTGTGTCGTGTCTCTGTGTGTGTCTCTGTGTCGTGTCTCTGTGTGTGTGTGTGTCGTGTCTCTGTGTGTCGTGTCTGTGTGTCGTGTCTCGTGTGTCTGTGTCTCTGTGTGTCGTGTCTCTGTGTGTCGTGTCTCTGTGTGTCGTGTCTCTGTGTGTCGTGTCTCTGTGTGTCGTGTCTCTGTGTGTGTGTCTCTGTGTGCGTGTCTCTGTGTGTGTGTCTCTGTGTGTCGTGTCTCTGTGTGCGTGTGTGTCTGTGTGTGTGTGTGTCGTGTCTCGTGTCTCTGTGTGTCGTGTCTCTGTGTGTGTGTCGTGTCGTGTCTCTGTGTGTGTCTCTGTGTGTGTGTCTCTGTGTGTCGTGTCTCTGTGTGTCTCGTGTCTCTGTGTGTCTGTGTGTCTGTGTGCGTGTCTCTGTGTGTCGTGTTCTCTGTGTGTGTGTGTGTGTCGTGTCTCTGTGTGTCGTGTCTCTGTGTGTCGTGTGTGTCTGTGTGTCTCTGTGTGTGTCTCTGTGTGTCGTGTGTCTCTGTGTGTCGTGTCTCTGTGTCTCTGTGTGTGTCTCTGTGTGTTGTGTCGTGTCGTGTGTCGTGGTGTCGTGTCTCTGTGTGTCGTGTCTCTGTGTGTGGTGTCTCTGTGTGTCGTGTCTCTGTGTGTCGTGTCCCTGTGTGTCGTGTCTCTGTGTGCGTGTCCCTGTGTGTCTGTGACTGTGTGCTGTGTTCCAGAGTCGTGTGCTGAACAGGGAGCAGACAGATGAGTGGAAGGGCTGGATGCAGTTGGTCATTCTCATCTATCATATTTCAGGAGCCAGTGCTGTGAGTCTTCCTCTCTATTCTGTGTGTGGTGTCAAAGCAGGAGCTGATTGTTCTTGTGTGTGTCAGTTCATTCCGGTCTACATGCACGTGCGCGTGCTGGTGGCGGCCTATCTCTTCCAGACGGGCTACGGACACTTCTCCTTCTTCTGGCTCAAAGGGGACTTCGGCCTGTACAGAGTGTGCCAGGTGAGTGCGGCTCCGCGGCCTCCGTGCTTTGTGCTCCCGCGGCGCCGGTGTGACCGTGCTCGTGCCGCAGGTTCTGTTCCGCCTCAACTTCCTGGTGCTGGTGTTGTGCGCGGTGATGGACAGGCCGTACCAGTTCTATTACTTCGTTCCTCTGGTGTCGTTCTGGTTCGTGATCATCTACGGCGCGCTGGCCGCGTGGCCTCAGATCGTGCAGAAGAAAGCCAGCAGTAGGTGTCCCTAAGCGCTCGAGTGTTGTGGACGTGGCCGCGGCGCCCCTCACCTGTGTTCTTCTTCTCTCTGTGTGAACAGACAGCGCCCTGTGGTACTTGGGAATCCTGCTCAAGTTAGTGGGCCTCCTGCTGCTCATTTGCCTCTTTGCCTATTCACAGGTAACAGCACAGTCCCTCCAGAGGCAGTGTCCTCAACACTGTTGGAAAACTGTTGAATGTGGTGTGATTGTTCCTGTGTGCAGGGCGTGTTCGAGAGCACCTTCACGGCGTGGCCGCTTTCCAGCCTCTTCCAACTGGACGGGGACATTCGCGAGTGGTGGTTCCGCTGGAGACTGGACCGGTTTGTAAGTGCTTTGGTGCCGTAGCTCCACGACCGCTCTGTTCCAGTAGATGTGGATGTGAGTGCTGGTGTGTTTGCAGGCCGTGCTACAGGGGATGGTGTTTGCCTTCCTCTATCTGCTCCTTCAGAAGAAGCAGGTGCTGTCGGAGACCAGAGGAGAAGCTCTGTTCTCGGCTAAAGTCTCCCTGCCCCTGCTGCTCCTGTCTGGCCTCTCTTTCGTCGTAAGTGTTGGACTCTCGCTGTAGTTGGTTCTGGATGAAGACCTGACACACTAGTGCTCCTCACAGCAAAGTGAAGGCTTCCTAACATCTTGTGTCCTCTTTACTTTAGACGTACTCAGTGTGGGCCAGTAACTGCCAAACCAAAGCCCAGTGCAACCAGATGCACCCCTACATCTCTGTGCTCCCGGTGGGTGATGTTGGCCTCCAAACAGAGTGGACGTGATGTTACTGATCTTTGTTTGTGTTTGTCCTCTGAGGCCGCTGTAGATGTCAGGTTGCACACATCCATTTGAATGGAGTCCACAGGGTAAAGTTTGTGCTGACCTCTCTGTGATGCTCCTGTGTCTCCTCAGATTCTGGCCTTCATCCTCATCAGGAACATTCCCGGCTTCGCCCGCTCCGTCTACAGCTCCTTTTTTGCCTGGTTTGGGAAAATCTCTTTGGAGGTAAGATCCAGAGTCTCAGTGTGAAGTATAAAGAAGAAGAAGTACAGAAGTGTAAAACTAAACCCAAAATGTGCTGTGTCCAGCTGTTCATCTGTCAGTACCACATCTGGCTGGCAGCAGACACCAAGGGCATCTTAGTGCTCATCCCTGGAAACCCGTCCCTCAACATCCTGGTCAGTAGCTTCATCTTTGTGTGTGTGGCTCATGAGATCTCCCTCATCACCAACCTCCTGGCCCAGCTGCTCATTCCTAAAGACACTGTGGCTCTGCTGAAGAGGCTGGGGGCCGTGGGGCTCCTCTCTCTGCTGCTGGGGGCCCGGGGCCACTCCTCCTCCGGGGCTTGAGTTCTGTTCACATGTTTGGCACTTTGAGTTTGCAGAGTCTGTGACAGACAGACGAGCAGTTTGTCCAGAGGACCTCATCTGCTGCTCCATCGTCCAGGACCTCGATTGTACTGTGCTCTCCTCCGTCCATCAGCACGCCACGCACACGTATGTAGTTACTCCCTCGTCCAAACTTTTCTAATGAAAAACCGCCGCACTGGCCAGTGTGTGTGAGTGCAAGAGCTCCTCTGTCCCAGCTCCAGACCCTCCGCCGTCCAGAGCTGGTCACACTTTGACTCTGTAAGGACGTGTACGTGAACTTCAGATTGTGTGCAATCGATATTGTAATTTCTGCTTCTGTTTGTTGTTTACTGTGAGAGTTATTTTAAATGATTATTTAATTTTGTGTGAATAAGTTTATAAAGTATTGTTTCTGTTGTACTTTGTAACATGACGACATCTGTTTGTGGAAGACTCTTCCTTTTCTTCTCTGAACAGAGTTTGAAGGTTTGAATAAACCACTGTCTCCAAAGTCTGTGTCTGTGCTCACTGCCTCCCCCTGCAGGACCTGATCTGTACCTGTCACACACTCTGTTCACACACACTGTTCACACACTCTGCTCACACACTCTGCTCACACACTCTGCTCACACACACTCTGTTCACACACTCTGTTCACACACTCTGTTCACACACTCTGCTCACACACTGTTCACACACTCTGCTCACACACACACTGTTCACACACTCTGTTCACACACTGTTCACACACTCTGCTCACACACTCTGCTCACACACTCTGTTCACACACTCTGCTTCACACACTCTGTTCACACACACTGTTCACACACTCTGCTCACACGCTCTGTTCACACACTGCTCACACACACTGTTCACACACTCTGCTCACACACTCTGCTCACACACTGTTCACACACACTGTTCACACACTGTTCACACACACACACACTGTTCACACACTCTGCTCACACACTCTGCTCACACACACTGTTCACACACTCTGTTCACACGCTCTGTTCACACACACACTGTTCACACACTCTGCTCACACACTGTTCACACACTCTGTTCACACACACTGTTCACACACTCTGCTCACACACTCTGCTCACACACTGTTCACACACTGTTCACACACTCTGTTCACACACACTGTTCACACACACTGTTCACACACTGTTCACACACTCTGCTCACACACTCTGCTCACACACTCTGCTCACACACTCTGCTCACACACACTGTTCACACACTCTGTTCACACACACTGTTCACACACACTGTTCACACACTCTACTCACACACTCTGCTCACACACTCTGTTCACACACTGCTCACACACTGTTCACACACTGTTCACACACTCTGTTCACACACTCTGTTCACACACTCTGTTCACACTCTGCTCACACTGCTCACACACTGTTCACACACACTGTTCACACACACTGGTCACACACTGTTCACACACTTTGGTCACACACTCTGGTCACACACTGTTCATACACTCTGGTCACACACTCTGGTCACACACTGTTCACACACTCTGGTCACACACTCTGGTCACACACTGTTCACACACGCTGGTCACACACTGTTCACACACTCTGGTCACACACTGTTCACACACTTTGGTCACACACTGTTCACACACTCTGGTCACACACTCTGGTCACACACTCTGGTCACACACACTGTTCACACACTCTGGTCACACACTGTTCACACACTCTGGTCACACACTCTTTCACACACTCTGGTCACACACTCTGTTCACACACTCTGTCTGTTCACACACTCTGTTCACACACACTGTTCACACACTCTGGTCACACACTGTTCACACACTCTGGTCACACACTGTTCACACACTCTGGTCACACACTCTGGTCACACACTGTTCACACACTCTGGTCACACACTGTTCACACACTCTGGTCACACACTGTTCACACACTCTGGTCACACACTCTGGTCACACACTGTTCACACACTCTGGTCACACACTGTTCACACACGCTGGTCACACACTGTTCACACACTCTGGTCACACACTCTGCTCACACACTGTTCACACACTCTGTTCACACACTCTGTTCACACACTCTGGTCACACACTCTGGTCACACACACTGTTCACACACTGTTCACACACTCTGGTCACACACACACACTGTTCACACACACTGTCTGTCACACACTGTTCACACACACACACTGTTCACACACTCTGGTCACACACTCTGCTCACACACTCTGTTCACACACACTGTTCACACACTCTGGTCACACACTGTTCACACACAGCACACTCTGGTCACACACTCTGTTCACACACTGTTCACACACTCTGGTCACACACTGTTCACACACTCTGGTCACACACTCTGCTCACACACTCTGTTCACACACACTGTTCACACAGTCTGGTCACACACTGTTCACACACTCTGTTCACACACTCTGCTCACACACTGTTCACACACTCTGTTCACACACTCTGTTCACACACTCTGGTCACACACTGTTCACACACTCTGTTCACACACACTGTTCACACACTCTGGTCACACACTCTGCTCACACACTCTGTTCACACACACTGTTCACACACTCTGGTCACACTCTGTCACACACTCTGGTCACACACTCTGTTCACACACTCTGGTCACACACTCTTCACACACACTCTGTTCACACACACTGTTCACACACTGTCACACACACTCTCACACACTCTGTTCACACACACTGTTCACACACTCTGGTCACACACACACACTCTGTTCACACACACTGTTCACACACTCTGGTCACACACTGTTCACACACTGTTCACACACTCTGTTCACACACACTCTGTTCACACACACACTGTTCACACACACTCACACACTCTGTCACACACACTGTTCACACACTCTGTTCACACACTCTGTTCACACATCACACACTCTGTTCACACACTCTGTTCACACACTCTGTTCACACACACTGTTCACACACTCTGGTCACACACTGTTCACACACTGTTCACACACTCTGTCACACACACTGTTCACACACTCTGGTCACACACTGTTCACACACTCTGTTCACACACTGTTCACACACTCTGGTCACACACTCTGTTCACACACACTGTTCACACACTCTGGTCACACACTGTTCACACACTCTGTTCACACACTCTGGTTCACACACTCTGTTCACACACTGTTCACACACTCTGCTCACACACTCTGATCACACACTGTTCACACACTCTGTTCACACACTGTTCACACACTCTGGTCACACTCTGTTCACACACTCTGGTCACACACTGTTCACACACTCTGGTCACACACTGTTCACACACTGTTCACACACTCTGGTCACACACTCTGCTCACACACACTGTTCACACACTCTGGTCACACACTGTTCACACACTCTGGTCACACACTGTTCACACACTGTTCACACACTCTGGTCACACTGTTCACACACTCTGGTCACACACTGTTCACACACTCTGGTCACACACTGTTCACACACTCTGGTCACACACTGTTCACACACTCTGGTCACACACTGTTCACACACTCTGGTCACACACTGTTCACACACTCTGGTCACACACTGTTCACACACTCTGGTCACACGAGTCCAGTGTCCACCACAAACTGAGAGACACTGGAACATCATGGAGACACATGAGGCTCTGTGTGTGACGAGCCCTGATGGTTCTGAGTGGAGAGAGCAGCTCACATGGACATGGACATGGACATGGACATGGACATGGACATGGACATGGACATAAACATATAAACATATAAACATATAAACAGTCATCATCATAAGGAAGAGTCTGGAGTCAGTGTGTGCACCTTCACACGACTCTGTGTTGGTCGTGTTTTTGTGATTACTCGAGTACTCAGAGTCCCCCCCCCCCACTGTGAAAACCACAACCTCCACGAGGGTTTTGTTCCCAAATATCAGTCAGTTCTGGAGTCAGGTCTTGCAGGATGCTGTTCTATTCAGCTGGACCCAGTTGACCACTTAAAGTGTGATTTGGCGCCCCCTTGTGGCTCTTTCATGGCAGCACTTACTTGGATGTGTGTTGTGCACCTGCCTGTGGCACATTCCCATTCACCTCAGTGTGAACTACAGCCTCACACCTGGTCTCTGAGGTCCACACCTGGTCTCTGGCTGAAGACACTATGGACACTATGTGACTCAAACTGCACCACTCTGGTCCAAAGCACAGACTTTTATTTGGAAGCAGAAGCCAGAATCTCCCAGAAAGAGATATTTACAGAAACGTTGGGGTCACACATCATACAGTGTAAACACAGATGGACTGTACAAATTTAGACCAAATCTAATGTCCAGCTGAAGCGAGTGGAGCTGGACTTCCACCTCAGATATGTGCTTTCTCAACATCACAGCACGTACACGGCTGAGTGGTGGGGTTGGAACATTGGACATGCTTTATTCAGAAACTTTTCACAATTTATTTAAACATCTCACATATACAAAATAGGTACAATAGTCTTTGTCATTTGAAAGAGAGAGCGGCCGATAAAAACATTTAGAATTGTGTTGTGGGATTTGATGAAGAAAAGCTTCGAGAACAAAAACAAACTGAAACAACAACCTTCAAAACAAAACAAAAATCAGAGAGTTTGGGTCGAGTTCCACCTGCTGAAGAGCGCCCCCGTCAGGAGGTGAACGCCAACAACGCACAGTAATACAGTCCCAGAGTATTAGCACCAGAGATATGAGCACCTCCTGGACTCTCCCCGCTGCCCCACCGGTGCCCGCCGCCGCCTCTGGCCGCACCGGGGCACGTCTGCGGGCAGGGCTGAGGTAGTTTACCGCTCTCATGACTCCTCTTTGGCAGACACACAAAGACCACAGAGTAATGCTTTCTTTTTATTACACTTTTATTTTTGTACAAAAGGATGACATGGCGTCCCAGAACAAGCTGTTTCCCTGCGTCGCTCGGGTGGGCTGTATTAGTTTGCATTGCACAGACGCTGCGCTCAGTCCTGTAGGTCCTCCGACGGGGGGGCCTCTTAGGCGGGTGGAGGGGTCAGCATTGGTACAAAACAACAGACAGAAGGGGGCGATGTGGTTCTTTCTCTCTTTTGGTGTTGTTAATTTATCATGAGTCTATTTATTTGAAACAGACTGGGCCAATGTCCAGACCAAACTCCTGGTCAGCGCCACCAATGTCCAAAGGTGCAACGTCGAGGATGGGTAGGCGAGAGGGTTTGTTCGTTCTGTACTCGATCACTGTCTTGCTCCATTCACTCCACTGTGTGATTTAACTCTCAACTGACATGATTTCTCTACAATACACTGACAACTCTACATTTAACTACATTTACTCTACAATTTTCTACATGATTTAACTCTACACTGCTGACTTTAACTACATTCAACTCTATTCAACTCTACACTAACATTCTCTAACATTAACTCTACATTTAACTCTACACTGATTTCAACATGATACAACTACTCTACATTTCAAACTACTACAACTACAATTTAACTACTCCATTCAACTCTATAAGATTTAACTCTATACTGATTAACTCTACACAATTTAACGCTACATGATTCAATTCTATTCAACTCTACATGATTCAACCCTACATGATTTAACTACACCATTTAACTCTACACCATTTATCTCTACATGATTTAACTCTACAGAATTTAACTCTAAACGATTTAACTATTCAACCACGTGATTCAACTCTGTTCAACTCTACACTATTTAACTCTACACGATTCAGTTCTATATGATTTTACTACACGATTCAACTCTACATAATTCAACTCTGTTCTACTCTACATGATTTAACTCTACATGATTCTACACTTGTGTTGTCACAAAACTCAAATTTCAAACTTTATTCTGAATTTCAGGAGTTTTTCAAAATACTGAAAATCAAATCCTCATCGATTCTAAAACACAAAAACCTCCAAAGTCGTCTGATCGACACATGAAGTTTATATTTACATTTGTTCTTTTCTATAAAACCTTGAATAACGACTCTCGGTCAGTGTTAGTGTTGTCTCAGTGTTATATCTCAGTGTTATATCTCAGTGTTATGTCTCAGTGTTATGTCTCAGTGTTATATCTCAGTGTTATGTCTCAGTGTTATGTCTCAGTGTTATATCTCAGTGTTATATCTCAGTGTTATATGTCTCAGTGTTATATCTCAGTGTTATATGTCTCAGTGTTATGTCTCAGTGTTATGTCTCAGTGTTATGTCTCAGTGTTATGTCTCAGTGTTATGTCTCAGTGTTATATCTCAGTGTTATATCTCAGTGTTATTCTCAGTGTTATGTCTCAGTGTTATGTGTCTCAGTGTTATGTCTCAGTGTTATATCTCAGTGTTATGTCTCAGTGTGTGTTATGTCTCAGTGTTATATCTCAGTGTTATATCTCAGTGTGTTAGTGTCTCAGTGTTATGTCTCAGTGTTATATCTCAGTGTTATATCTCAGTGTTCATGTCTCAGTGTTATATCTCAGTGTTATATCTCAGTGTTAGTGTTATATCTCAGTGTTATATCTCAGTGTTATATGTCTCAGTGTTATCTCAGTGTCTCAGTGTCTAGTTATGTCTCAGTGTTATATCTCAGTGTTATGTCTCAGTGTTATGTCTCAGTGTTATGTCTCAGTGTTATGTCTCAGTGTTATATCTCAGTGTTATGTCTCAGTGTTATGTCTCAGTGTTATGTCTCAGTGTTATATCTCAGTGTTATGTCTCAGTGTTATATCTCAGTGTTATGTCTCAGTGTTATGTCTCAGTGTCTCAGTGTTATATCTCAGTGTTATGTCTCAGTGTTATATCTCAGTGTTATATCTCAGTGTTATGTCTCAGTGTTATGTCTCAGTGTTATGTCTCAGTGTTATGTCTCAGTGTTATATCTCAGTGTTATGTCTCAGTGTTATGTCTCAGTGTTATGTCAGTGTTATGTCTCAGTGTTATATCTCAGTGTTATGTCTCAGTGTTATGTCTCAGTGTTATTATCTCAGTGTTTATATCTCAGTGTTATGTCTCAGTGTTATGTCTCAGTGTTTATCTCAGTGTTATGTCTGTGTTATGTCTCAGTGTTATTTCTCAGTGTTATATCTCAGTGTTATGTCTCAGTGTTATCTCAGTGTTATGTCTCAGTGTTATGTCTCAGTGTTATATCTCAGTGTTATATCTCAGTGTTATATCTCAGTGTTATGTCTCAGTGTTATATCTCAGTGTTATGTCTCAGTGTTATGTCTCAGTGTTATCTCAGTGTCTCAGTGTCTATGTCTCAGTGTTATCTCAGTGTCTCATGTCTCAGTGTTATATCTCAGTGTTATGTCTCAGTGTTATATCTCAGTGTTATATCTCAGTGTTATATCTCAGTGTTATGTCTCAGTGTTATGTCTCAGTGTTATATCTCAGTGTTATGTCTCAGTGTTATGTCTCAGTGTTGTTTTACGCAGTCTGATCCGTCAGGACGAGGTTCTGTGGTTTCAGCAGTGGCGCCGTTCACAGTTTGGGGGCCCTGGGTGAACTTGAGTTTGGGGCCCTCACTATAGTGCACCGTTATTTTTATTTTTTTTATATATATTTTATATTTATTGTCGTTTTTTCCCCTTTGTTCTTGAGACTTGCACATCTCTATTTATTTGAATTATAGTGAACTGGAAACTTTTCTTATTCGTTCAGTCGCCGAGTAGAAAACCTGAGCTGAAAGTAGTTTTATTTTTTGGCTGGTACAGTTTTGTTTACATCCTTTACATATGATTATTTTTTTATGATTATTGTTTGAAAGTAAAACTCTCATTTAGTTTCAAATTGAGAGAAAATCCAATTGCTCTGAGGCCTCGGCCGTTAGTGGCTCTGAGTGTAATTGTAACTGTTTGGGGGCCCCTCCAGAGGGACACTGTATATTCCAGTGTGTTTTATTGTGTGGGGGCCACCGTAGTTTCTGCTGAAGGAAACTCTGGGACATAACGACGAATTTAGAGAAACTCAGAGAAACTCCGAGTCTCACGACACTTTGATCAGGAGTAAAACAAACCTGATGTGTCCAGATGAACGACACTGAAACCTTCAACACGACAAACCCAGTCCTGCCTGCTGCTCTGTGTGACTCTGTGTGTCTGTGACTCTGTGTGACTCTGTGTGTGTGTGTGTGTGTGCGTTCGTGTGTGTGTGTGTGTGTGCGTTCATGTGTGTGTGTGTGTGTGCGTGTGTGCGTTCGTGTGTGTGTGTGTGTGCGTTCGTGTGTGTGTGTGTGTGCGTTCATGTGTGTGTGTGTGTGCGTGTGTGCGTTCGTGTGTGTGTGTTTGTGTGTTTGTGTGTGCGTTCGTGTGTGTGTGTGTGCGTGTGTGTGTGTGTGTGCGTTCGCGTGTGTGTGTGTATGTGTGTGTGTGTGCGTTCGTGTGTGTGTGTTTGTGTGTTCGTGTGTGTGTGTGTGTGTGTGTGCGTTCGTGTGTGTGTGTGCGTTCATGTGTGTGTGTGTGTGCGTTCATGTGTGTGTGTGTGTATTGTGTGTGCGTTCATGTGTGTGTGTGCGTGCGTTCATGTGTGTGTGTGTGCGTTCATGTGTGTGTGTGTGTATGTGTGTGTGCGTTCATGTGTGTGTGTGTGTGCGTTCGTGTGTGTGTGTGTGTGTGTGTGTGTGTGCGTTCATGTGTGTGTGTGTGTGTGCGTTCGTGTGTGTGTGTGTGTGTGTATGTGTTGTTGTGTTTGTGTGTGCGTTCATGTGTGTGTGTGTGTTTGTGTGTGCGTTCGTGTGTGTGTGTGTGTGTGTGTGTGCGTTCATGTGTGTGTGTGTGTGCGTTCATGTGTGTGTGTGTGTGCGTTCATGTGTGTGCGTGTGTGTGTGTGTGTGTGTGTGTGTGCGTTCATGTGTGTGTGTGTGTGCGTTCATGTGTGTGCGTTCGTGTGTGTGTGTGTGTGCGTTCGTGTGTGTGTGTGCGTTCATGTGTGCGCGTGTGTGTGCGACACTCACAGTGCACCCGTCCTCCAGCACAGAGTAGGTGAAGCGGCTGTTGCCTTCGGCGCGCAGCTCCACGTCGTTGGATCCCTGCAGCACCAGCGCCTTCCTCAGGGAGCCGCTGTCTGCGTGCAGATAGGCCACGCTGTTGCGGCAGTGGTACGTGATGTTCTGGCTCGCCTGGTTGGACAGGAGCCTCATGAACGCCAGCTGCGTGGCCATGCTCTGGGGGCTCAGGGTCTCGTCGTTGTAGGTGAACTGTGAAAGAGCAGACGGAGCGTGAAGAACGACTCAAGGAAAGTACAGTTACCCGAAAATACCAAACGATAATAATAATAATAATAATCGTGTCCCTTTAAACGTTGAATATTTAGATAAATAACCGTTGGTTCCAAATAAAAAATGCAGTCTAGTCCAGCAGTAAAAGTTGTCGCTCTGTAAAAACTGGTTAAAAGATTTTGAGCAAGATTTTTGTGAGGAAGAAATTAATATTACCGCCTTTTCTCAAATAAAAACCTGGTCTGTTAAGTGATTGAAACAAATAAACGCTCCGGATATTATTTGGTATTTTATGGTACTTCAAATTACTCAAGTAGAAGTACAAAGTAGTGGTACTGGGGGGAAAAAAGTATTTGGGAAAAGTACTGCTCAAGTATAAAGAGGAACTGTATCGGGACAGAACATCAGATTTGTGATGTGAAGAACAAAACAGGAAATAATGCACAAAATCTGTTGTGTTTTTTCACAGCACAGACACAGAATTGAGGCTAAAATGAGTTTAAAAACGCAGTGGAGCGCTTCCCGTATGACCATTTGATGACATCACAAGGTGGATCAGAGTATTTTGACGTTGAGAGAAGAACACGCAGGATTTTTGTGTTTCTGTGTGAATACAAAGCTCCATTATAGTTTAGAAAATAATTTAACACGGGCCCATAAACCTCCATTCAAAACAAACACAAAAAATGCACAAAATTTCAAGTTAAATTATAAATCGGCCAAAATATAAACATAAGGAGCCTAGCAGGGTGGTTATGCTGCATTACCACATTACTTTGTTTTATTTTATTACATTTGTGTGTGTTTATGTTTTGTTTTTATGTTTATTATTGTATTTTGTTAAATGTTTTATTCTATTGTCTTAAAAAATACATAAAAAATAAATATTAAAAAAATAAAACATTTAGGATTTTTTTTTTTTTTTACTTGAGCAAGTTGAAATTTAGACTTTTTTTTATTTTATTTTATTTAAAAAAAAAAAATCTTATCTCATACCAATCTGACCTTATTGGCTCTGTTCCACTTTGTGATGTCATTAGTTGGTAACCGTCCTCCAGAGAAGGAGCTCTCTCCCTCTCTGGATCTGTTCAGCTCATATGAAGCTACTGTATGACGCCTTATTTACACAACCTTTCTCACACGTGTGCAACCCTCTGCCTCCCTGAATGTTCCACAGTGCAGCATTAACTGGAAGTACTCTGTTACATTTACTCAAGTTACTTTTTAAAGGTACAAAACGGACTCCTGTGAGCTTGAACTCGTGTTCTGATGTTCCTCTAATGTTCCTGGTCACAAACAGCTGGAGTCGTGTCTTTATTCTGAGTCTGTTACATCTCCAAAGCTCCAAACACTCTGCTCCACCCTGTGATGTCATCAAGTGGTGGTTTCCAATTGAACAGCTTTAAGTTCACCTTTGGGTTCAGTCGAGATCAGCGACTCCACGACTGAAATGATCCAGGTGATTCTAGTGAAGGTGTGTGGAGTTTAAAAACACAGTGGAGCACTTCCTGTATCACCACATGATGACATCACAAGGTGGAACAGAGTGTTTTCAGTTGTGTGTGACGAGGAAACGACAAAAGAAGTGGACTTTTCAGAGAAGCTTTTGGACACTTTTCCGTGAGTAATCTTTGGTTTGAAGTAAGAGTTCTGTTGTTTGAGTAAAAGTGTTGGTGCTTGGCGGGTGCTTGGCGGGTGCTTGGCGGGTGTTTGGCGGGTGCTTGGCGGGTGCTTGGCGGGTGCTGGTACCTCGGTTCCTCCGTTGATGGTCTCTCCAAACCACACATGCTTCTGCGTCTGGGAGCTGCGGTGCCAGTTCTGGCGGGCGTAGCGCTCGGGGTGGGCGTGGATGCAGGTCTCGCGGGTGTCGAAGTTGCAGAAGACCTTGATGGCGTCGTTGATGCAGCCCTGGTTCGGGTCGATCCAGTAGAAGCCTGCGGAGAGGTCAGAGGTTAGGAGCGGTCGGACCGTGTGGAGTTCAGAGGCGCGGGGCGGTTCTGCGGGGGGGCGTACCGCTGCTCCAGTCGGGGTGGCTGAGGCGGATGTCGCGGCAGGTGCGGGCGGGGTTCTTCCTGGAGCCTTCGGGGGTCAGCAGGTTGTCGATCTGGGTGTTCAGGGACTTGATGGTGGCGTCCACTTCGTAGTCCTTGGCTCTCAGGGCGGGCTGGTCGGCTCTGTACTCATCGTATCCGGAGACGTCGTATCCGCCGCCAGCGGGGCCTGGGGGTCCGGGCAGACCGGGGGCTCCGGGGGGTCCCTAGAGAAGGTGCAGAGGACAGTGTGAGGGCCGTGGGTGACGCGGGTGAACTACGGCCTCATCTGCTGCACTTACAGAAGGTCCAACGTATCCGGGAGGTCCACGGGCACCGGGAGAACCCACATTACCGGCCTGGCCAGGTCTTCCATCTTTACCAGTGGGTCCGTGGGGTCCAGCGGGGCCCTGCACACAGACACGTGTTTGGATTTAGTCAAAGTTAAATCCTGGACCGTTTATTCTGACAGCTCCTGCCCCACTTACTCTGGGTCCAGATTGTCCGGCAGGTCCAGCAGGTCCACTGTCTCCAGCGGGTCCCTTCACACAACAGGACAGAGAAAATGAGCTTCATCTGAAACAACAAGCTGCAGAAGTCTAGTCCTCAAAGAGTCACTCACAGAAGGTCCAGGCATGCCCTGAAGTCCAGGATGTCCACGCAGTCCCTTCATGCCTCTCTCACCCTTGTCTCCAGCCACACCCTTCTCTCCTCTCACTCCAGCAGGTCCCTGAAACACAGGTCCACATCAGTATGTTCTGTGTAGACTTTGGTCCGTACGCCGCTCCGGACTCTGGGGTCACACTTACAGCGGCACCTCTGGCTCCGGCAGGCCCGGCAGGTCCGGCAGGTCCGGCGGGTCCCTGAGGAGAAACAGCGTGAGCGCACGACACTGACAACGTCACAGACACATCTCAGCTCAAACCTACAGACTCTCCACGGTTTCCAGGACGACCAGCAGCTCCAGTGGGTCCAGCGGGTCCAGGGGCTCCGGCCAGACCTGAGGGTCCAGGGGCACCGGGCTCACCACGATCTCCCTGCACAGAGACAGAACAGGCGGGTCAGACAGGGGCACAGGCGGGTCAGACAGGGACCACATGACTGTTTTAAACTGCACCTTGAATCCAGCGGCACCGGGGCGTCCAGGGGGTCCATCGTTGCCAGGGTTGCCCTACCGACACAAAAACAGAGTTACAAACGTCTGTGGTCCAGGTCCACACGGTCCAGAGGGAAAGAGAAGCTCACGTCTCACCTCACGTCCAGCCTCTCCCTGAGGTCCAGTCATACCAGGAAGGCCGATGTTTCCAGGGGGTCCACGGGCTCCAGGGGGTCCAGCGGGGCCCACTCTGCCAGGCTCGCCCTGAGGGAGACACACAGCGTCTTGAGAATGCACGCAGGCCGTTTGTTTTCTCAAACAGACGTGAGCGGTGTGTGTGTGGACTCACCAATCCTCCAGCAGCACCAGGGGATCCACGGTCTCCACGGGCACCGGGCAGACCCACAAATCCCTGCGGTCCCAGTTGTCCAGAGGGTCCAGGGGTACCAGGAGCTCCCTACACAAACACGGGCGTTAGTCCACAGCTCCCACACCCACAGTCGTCACTGCTCCACTTACAGCAGGGCCGGGCTCTCCGGAGGGTCCCTTCTCTCCAGATGGGCCTTGAGGTCCGAGCATACCGGGCTCTCCAGAGGGACCTGAGGGGCCCACGTCACCACGAGCTCCACGAGGTCCATCCTTTCCAGAGGGTCCAGCGGGGCCAGGAGGTCCAACGATTCCCTGTGTGTGACAGAGGCTCGTTTACGTCACATGAAAAAACACCAACAAATACACAAATATAAGTTTTATATTTGATCAAGTCTGGACAGTTGAGGTACTCACAGCGGGGCCGGGAGCGCCAACTCTGCCAGCGGCGCCAGGGAATCCAGTCAAACCCTAAAAGCACAGACACAATCAGAACCACACGATCAGAACCACACGATCAGAACCACACACTCTTCTGTGGATGTGCTCGGTTCATACTCACAGGAGGACCGGTCTCTCCACGAACTCCAGCGGGTCCAGGGGCTCCGGCGGCGCCCTGCGGGTCAGAACACCGGGTCAGAACAGGTTTCCTGGTACTGCTCAGGACAGTTTTTTATTTGGTGCTGTTCACTCTAACATTAGTGAGTCAAATCTAGAAGTGCAGGGAAACATGAAGCAGTTTAAATCCTTGTTGTGTTTTTACTATAATTTAACGATGTAACTCTGTGTAAAAGTACTTCAAGTATTCAGACGCAGTACTCTGCACCGTGTACGGAACAAATACATTTTTAAACAAGTTTTCTGTGTTCTGTAACTAGAGTATTGGTCCGTCACTCTTAGTTTCTTGCACAGTTTTTTCAGCCTTCAAGGTCAAAATCTGTCGGTTTCGTGTTGTCTGCATCAAATGGAGCGTATCAGGAAGTGTGTGGTTAGCATGCTAGTTGTGGCTGTGCAAAGTGCTGTGAAAAAGTCATGGTGGTGAATAATGAGGACGTCCTGGATGCAGAAGGGACATGAGGAAGAACTGGACCTCTGCAAACTCTTTCAAATTCTCAGACTCGTTTTGTTTTTTCAGGTTTTTGAGTCACCGTGAAACTTTTCAACTTGTTTTTGCTGAAGTGATGTTCAACTAAAAGTACGTGAGGTCATTTCCTGCTCGTTGGTCGGTTTGCCGTTTGCCGTTTACTCACAGGGGGTCCAGATTGTCCGGCGGGTCCGGCAGGTCCAGAGGGTCCGCTCTCACCCTTTCCTCCAGCGGGTCCCTTCTCTCCGCGGATTCCGGGCTGGCCGTCGGCGCCCTGTGTGGGGGAGGAGGGGGCGGGGGGTTAGTGGGGTCTCTGTGGGGGGGGTTCAGGGGTCGGGCATGATCAGGGCGGGACTTACAGGGGGTCCAGCGAAACCAGGCGCTCCGGCGGGTCCCACCTCTCCTCGCTCGCCCTGCGCCAGGCACAAGAGTTAAAAGTGGATCGGCTCAAACGTCCACGAAAACAGAAGCACAGACCACAAGAAAACAGAAGCACAGACCACACGGGCACAGACCACACGGGCACAGACCACACGGGCACAGACCACACGGGCACAGACGTCAGGAAGTCCACAGAAAACCACAGACTTTCAATTTTCAGTTTGGTCTTTTAGCAACAAACTCTGAAGTGGAAACAGCCGAATCGACCCTAAAACTGCTCCCAAACACTGGAGGACGTTTACAGCTCCAACTACGAGGCTCATTTACTCGGGTTTGAACTAAATGAGGTCAAATTTGAATTTTTAAGACCGTTAAAAGTCAAATCTGTTTTACACGAAAAAGGTTCAAATCCTCTCTGTAGATTTAAAAGTCTAATGTGACAAAAAAAATCAAACATTTAAACTCGACTTTTCCCAAAATCCAGACAATTCTGAATCTTTTAACACAGAAAACACCTCGATTTAAACAAAAACTCCACCTGCTGAAAACCTCCACAACAGATTTTAAATAAACAACAGAAGAAGAGGAGAGGAGGAAAAGAGGAGGAGAGAAACAGAGGAAAAGAGGAGAGAAACAAGAGAAGAGAAGGAAAGAAACAGGAGAAGAGGATGAGAGAAACAGAAGTGAAGACGAGAGGAGCAGAGGAGAGAAACAGAGGAGCAGTTCACTACTTTATTGGGGAGAATGGACTTAATATTTGTAAAATCCTGCCCTAAAGTCTCAGGACTCTAGAGTTTCTCGGAGTTGTTCCGTTCGTGTGACGTTAAGATGGAGCTGTGTGTGTAAACGGTTGTTGATGCTCTGACTCTAGAACACAGAACATGAGAAGATGCCAGAGGGGCGGGGCTTACAGAGGGTCCCCGGGGTCCGGCAGGTCCGGCAGGTCCAAAAGATCCAGCTTCTCCCTGAACAAGAGAACACAAGAACACAGAACCAGAGTCAGTCACACGGCCCGAGACGAGAGACGCGAACACTGTGGGGACCTCAGATCAGACCCCAAACTGTGTGAGTCCCCAAAACTGTGTCCTGTGTGAGATGCTCTATTCCAGGAGGTTTTCAGGTTCTAAAATGTGATAATGTCAGAACAATTTCATTCTGTCGTTCACTTTGGACTTTGTCATGAAGTATCGGAACGGTAAATTCACAAATCTGGAACCTGATCATTTCTCTGAGAAACTCGACCCCAGAGCTGCTGTTACAACAAAAATCTGCAAAAATCTTGGACTAAAAAGGAGGTGAAAATTCTCCAAACTGCACTCACCAGACTCCACCTGCAGGGGGCGCTCGACTAAAACAACTTTTTATACAGAAAAAAGGACGAGGAAACGGAGCACTGCAAACATCTGATCTGGACGAGATTTTAAAACTGATCAGATCAGTTCTGAGATGTTTCATTCTCGTCTAGAGGTCGATTATTTTAAGATTTAACTCGACAAGTAAAATGATTTTGCTGCATTGACAGAAAAATTCACTAATTTTAAGTCATTTTCTGACAGAGTTAAGTGTTTAAATTCTAACCAAGCTTTTTTGCAGCGTCAGATGAAAAATGAATTGAATCTGACTTTTGACAGAGAATAAACAAAATGTCGGATTATTCTCTGCTCACCTTATCACCGTTGGGTCCGACGGGTCCAGCAGGTCCGGCGGGTCCAGGAGCACCCTGCAGAACCCAGAGAGAACAGAGTCAGAGCACAGGCCCTCACACACACACACACACACACACTGCAGGAGTGTGACGGGGTTTTACTGAAACGTACACGAGCTCCGTCTCTGCCGGGGTTTCCATCAGGTCCTCTGTGTCCAGACTCTCCCTGAAAAACACACACACACACACGGTTAGACTCGATACACACAAACACACACACACAGACACACAGAAGATGTGTGTGTACCTTCTCTCCTTTGCCTCCGGGTGCTCCGGCTGCTCCTCGCTCTCCTGGCATTCCACTGGGGCCCTGGTGTCCGGCGGCTCCGACGGCTCCGGTGGGGCCGGGTTCTCCCTGAGGACGAGGGCAGCGTGAGACTCCCACACAAACACGAGTCACGAGGAAAAGGACGACTCTTTACCTTAGCGCCGTCAGATCCGGGGGCTCCAGCGGGTCCACGGGGTCCGATGGGGCCCTGAGGTCCGGTGGAACCGGCAGCTCCGGGGACTCCTCGCTCTCCCTGCACCAGAGTCACCGTCAGAACGTTTGTGCGTCAGAGGAACAGGAGGCACATGCACACACACTTACCCTCGCTCCAGCAGGTCCTGAGGCGCCCTGGTCTCCTGGGATACCCTAAAAAACACACACACACACAAAGACACACACACAGGCACACACACACAAAGACACGAACACACACACACACACGCTCTGTCAGGAAAGGTCCGGTTTTCAAATAAATATTTCTCTGTGTTAAACTTACTCTGTCTCCGGGTTTGCCGGCCTCTCCAGCAGGTCCCGCGGGTCCAGGCAGACCCTGCACAAGAACATGACTCTTCAGAACAATGGTCCACACAAACATCTCCACACAACAACAAACATCTAACACAACAAACATCTAACACAACAAACATCTCACACACAACAAACATCTAACACAACAAACATCTAACACAACAAACATCTAACACAACAAACATCTAACACAACAAACATCTAACACAACAAACATCTAACACAACAAACATCTCCACACAACAAACACATCTAACACAACAAACATCTAACACAACAAACATCTAACACAACAAACATCTAACACAACAAACATCTAACACAACAAACATCTCCACACAACAAACATCTAACACAACAAACATCTAACACAACAAACATCTAACACAACAAACATCTCACACAACAAACATCTAACACAACAAACATCTAACACAACAAACATCTAACACAACAAACATCTCCACACAACAAACATCTAACACAACAAACATCTAACACAACAAACATCTAACACAACAAACATCTCAGTCTCTGGTTTTCAGAAGGTCTTGTTACCTGGAAACCTGGAGCTCCAGCAGGTCCAGCCTCTCCCTTCTCACCTGGTCCACCCTAAAACACACACGAGGTTAGAGTCTGTGTGAGTGTGTTGTGTGTGTGTGTGAGTGTGTGTGTGTGTGAGTGTGAGTGTGTGAGTGTGTTTGTGTGTGAGTGTGTGTGAGTGTGAGTGTGTGAGTGTGTTTGTGTGTGAGTGTGTGTGTGTGAGTGTGTGTGTGAGTGTGTGTGTGTGTGTGAGTGTGTGTGTGTGTTTGGAGACTTACAGCGGGGCCCATGGGGCCAGAGGCTCCGTTGTTTCCATCAGGTCCAGGGGGGCCCTGCACAGAGAACAAGTTTATCACCCAACCGAGAGAGAGAAGAGGAACAGAGGAGCAGGGGGGGTCAGTGGGGGTCAGTGTGTGTGTGTGGGGGGGTCAGTGTGTGTGTGGGGAGGGGGTCAGTGGGGGTCAGTGAGGAGCAGGTCTTACTCTCAGGCCGGTGGGGCCGGTGGATCCCTTGTCTCCAGGCTTGCCGGGCTCACCCTGTGGGCGACACACATTTCAGTTTCAGCTCATTCACTTTGACACTTTGAGGTTCTGTACGTACAGAGGGGCCCTTGGGTCCGGGGAAGCCGATGTTTCCGGGCTGACCTCGGGGTCCGGTGGGTCCAGGAGGACCGCTGCGGCCGTCTTGTCCAGCGGGACCCTGGACAAGGACATGGAGGTTAGACATGGACATGACTGAGACTGTGTGGACCACAGGTCACGTGACACTCACAGTGGGCCCCTCCTTTCCGGGGGGTCCGGAGCTGCCGGGGCTTCCGGGGAGTCCCTGTGTGAGAAGGACAAAGGTTAGGATTCTGGATTCTGGATTCTGGAAGTGTATCTTCAGAAGCGGAGCGGTTCTGTGGGACTCACCCTCAAACCTGCTTGACCGGGCTCTCCGGCGCGGCCTGCGTCTCCAGGGGGTCCACGGGGGCCGGCAGATCCGGTGGATCCACGAGCTCCGGGCATTCCCTGCACAGGACGCACGGTGAGAAACACGGTGAGAAACACGGGGCGTGAAGTTCACGGGGGACAGGAGTTTACTTACGATGGGTCCAGCTCTTCCATCAGCACCAGGCAGACCGCGACCACCGGGGGCGCCCTGCACACCCACACACACGTCAGCACAGGTGACATGGAAACAACAACGTACCTGTGACCTGAAGTCTACTCACTCTGGCTCCACGGAGACCGGCGGGGCCTGTGGCTCCCAGCTCACCGGTGGGTCCTCTCTTTCCCTCCTCTCCCTGAGATCCGGGGGGTCCCTGAGGTCCAGAGTTTCCCTGCAGGTGGACAGGTGAGACAGGTGAGACAGGTGAGACAGGTGAGACATCAACAATCATCAGAACACACCAGGGCATCTGACTTACAGGCTCTCCTTTGGGACCGGTGTCTCCCTTCACTCCTTGGATTCCAGGGTCTCCCTAAAACACACGACCTGTCAGAACCAGAACCAGAACCAGAACCTCTGCTCTAGTGTTAAACCTGATGCACGCACAGGCAGTCCCCTGGGGCCGGCGGGGCCCTGAGCTCCCTGGGGTCCGGGTCCTCCTCTTGGTCCAGGGAAACCAGGAGCTCCAGCGACACCAGCGGGTCCCTGCAGGAAACAAGGAAGATCAGACGAGTCGGCGAGATTGAGTCTGAACTGTGTCCAAAATCTGTCCAAATCTGTCCAAAATCTGTCCAAACTTTATCCTTTATATGTCCAAACTTTCTGATGTTTTGAGTCTCTAAGTTTTGAATCTCTGAGTTTTGAGTCTCTGAGTTTTGAATCTCTGAGTTTTGAGTCTGTGTGTGACACTCACGGCGGCTCCTTTGGCTCCGTTCAGGCCGTTGGCTCCGGGGTTTCCCTGCAGAGAGACAGAGGAGCGTTACATCCCTCAGAACATAAACGTACTGGACACACTGAGCGTCTGTGTGGACGTGAGACTCACAGGGGGTCCGACGGGGCCCACGGCGCCGTTGGCACCGGGCTCTCCTCTTGCTCCCTGAGCTCCAGATGGGCCGGTGGGTCCGGCTCCTCCGATCTCTCCCTGCGAGACACGAGAGACGTTAAGACGACTGAGCCCGAACAACCGACAGACAGGAAGTGATGTCACCTACCTTAGGACCGGGACCGCCGGGGAAACCAGGGGGTCCAGCAGCACCGACGGGGCCCTGAGGAGAGACGCCGGGGTCAGAGCAGGGTCACAACAAGGTCAAAGGTCAAACCGGATCGATACGATATCATCACAAAACAGCAACACCTGCGATACTCGACATGTTTGATCAAATCTGCTGTGTTTTTAAAAACCAAAAACTTTTAAGCAACAATATTTGTTTGTTAAACCTCCAGCTGAGCGACGTCCCCACAAAACACCTCGAGTTTCATCTAATCTAATAAAACTGTTTCCTTTTCACGAAATAAACAACAAAGTGATCGTGCATCAGCTAAAATAATGCTAAAAAAAGCTCTCGATATCGATACTGTCTCACCAAATTTAGCATCAGGATAAATCGATATTTCAGTATTTTTTCAAACTCCTGATGGTCAGAGTTAGAACTTTTCCTAGAACATGAGCATTGGTTTAGAATTTCAGAATTTAAATCAAACTCTTTTGTTTTGATTCTGTCATTTTCGCTCATGACCCGGTTTCTCTTTGTCTCGTCCAATCACGGTACAGATCAGTCGCAGAACACCAGGACCGTCCCCCCCTTCAGAGCGTGAGGTTCTTACAGCAGGTCCGGCGGGTCCAACGTTTCCGTCGGCTCCACGGGCACCGGCGGGTCCGGCGGGTCCAGCGCGGCCTCTCTCTCCAGGCAGACCTCGGGAGCCCTGAACACACACGACATCATCAAACCCTCCTCCTCCTCATCATCATCATCATCATGTGTCCGACCACAGACTGAGCACAGACGTGGACTCAACAGGAAGTGAACACGGGCGCGACTCGGCTCCATCCACTCTGGCTCCAGTTCACTTTACACTGAAACATTTTGGTCTGAAATATTCGTCTTAACCCTCGACACATGATCCTCGGGTTTTTATTTTCACTATTTTGTCTGTAAATAAATTTCATCTCCAAATTGTCTGGTGTGTCTGGGCCTCGATGAGCTTCGTTTGACTGGAGCCGAGCGCTGTGGGGACCTCACACTCCCTCTGTCCACTTCGTGTCACCGTCTGTGGCTCAGGTTCAGGACGGGGCGAGTACTCACAGCCAGACCGGGACTTCCAGGGGCTCCCGCAGATCCGGTCTCTCCCTGTGCACACACACACACACACACACACACACACATGGTCAGATGGAGTTCACACACCAGGACAAAACTCAGATCTGAATTTGAGATGTTACCTTAGCTCCAGCAGCACCAGGTTCTCCTTTACGTCCATCCAGACCATTGTAGCCCTGAGAGACACAAGAACGTCACACACAACGTCTAAGACACACAACAACTCACACACAACACCTGACACACAATATCTAACACACAACACCTGACACACAATATCTAACACACAACACCTGACACACAATATCTAGCACACAACACCTGACACACAATATCTAACACACAACACCTGACACACAATATCTAACACACAACACCTGACACACAATATCTAACACACAACACCTGACACACAATATCTAACACACAACACCTGACACACAACATCTAAGACACACAACATTCTGAGCAGTGGTGGAGTTCGTGATTTGGGTCTTGAGTTTGGGGTCCTCATGATGATGCTCTGTTTTGTTGTTTTATTTTTTATTATTATAATTTTTTATATTTCTTTATATTTATTTTCTGTTTTTGCCTCTTGTTCTTGAGACACACACATCTTTATTTAAATTATGGTGGTTTGGAAACTTGTCTTGTTAGTTCAGTCGCCAACTAGAAAACCAGAGCTGAAAGTAGTTTTTTTTTTTTTTTTTTTTTTCAATTTACAGTGACATTTGTTGTTTACATCCAGTATATATGATTATTCTGATTCTGATTCTGATTAAATCAGACTCACACTGACTCGTCTGTTCTAACGTGGGGGGGGGGTTTCTTATTTAAAAGTAAACCTCCTCTCATTTATGTCACACTGAGAGAAACTCTCATTGCTCTGAGGTCTTTAGTGGCTCTGAGGACAGTTTATTTGGGGCCCCTCCAGGTTCGGGGCCCTTGGCGACTGCCTACTTTTGCCTAAAGGCAGCACCGCCTCTGATTCTGAACACGCTGCAGATTTGAGGAGATCCTCACGAGAGAAAAGAGCTTAATGTGACGTTCAGGTGGGAGTAAAAGAAACATAGATATTTTTTATTTTTTTAGTCAAAGTGAGGTCCAAGAACAGAAGAGAAAAATCCTGCACACTGTGTCCTCATAAATCTCACACTTTGCAGGTCAGACGGTGTGTGGGGTTTTTCTCTCTGTTCTTGAGCTGCTCCGTCTCCTCCAACACACACATCACACACATGTGACGTGTGACGTTTTTAATTTTTCTCACCTTTTAAATCAAACTGCGGCAAAAACAAACAAACTCACATTATAACTTAATTTAACTCAACATATTTACATAAGCAAGTGGCTGTTTCATGTTTTGGTGTCTAAATGTTCCGTAATATTGCTTTAAACCTCTCCATCTCCACGGAGACAGGCAGCTGAGGCCTTCAGGTGAGGTACAGGTCAGATCTGTGGGGAGGCGAGCCCACTCAGAGTCTGAACACTGAACTTTCTGGAGTTTTAAACAGACGTCTCGTGTCAGTGTCTCCATGGAGACGAGCAGAAAAGTGACGTCATGCAGCTTTAAGTAACAAGCTCAGACTTTTAGAAACGTTCTGAATGTTCCACTGAAATGTTCAAGACGTACAAAGGTCACCAGCAGGGGGCGCTAGCTTTTTGTGTGACTCAGTGTAAATCATAATTACAATAAATAAATAAATAAATAAATAACTTTATCCAAACATTATTTCATGTCCATGTTGTTTTCTTTCTCAGAATATTTTATTTTACCTTTAATTTATTTTATTTTCATATTAATTTATCACATTGAATATTATTGGTTTAAATTTCATTATTTAAAATTTCCATCTTGTTTTTTATTTTCATGTTAAGCAGGTTCATATGATTCATTTGACCGTCATTATTTTTATTACTTTATGTTACAGATTTTAATTGAAATTTCTAAACATCATTTTTAGAGGCAAAGTAAAATATAAAATATAATAATTTTAAAAACAGAGCAACAGTCGAGGCGCAGTTTAAAGACCCGATTCTACGGGTCAAAGCAACGACGTTCAGTTTAAAATCAGCGAGTTTTCACTTTCCCATCAAACAGAATCAGCACTTACTCTGTGTCCTTTCATTCCGGGGAGTCCAGGGGTTCCAGGGAATCCACGAGCGCCCTAAAAACACAAACACACACACACACACACACACACACACACACACACACACACACACACACACACACACACACACACACACACACACACACACACACACACACACAAAAACAAGAGCACAGGTCAGTGAAACGGACAACGCACAGAGTTCAGATTTTTTTTCAGTTTTTTGTTTGTGGAGTCTGGTCTGACCTGAGCACCGGGGGTTCCTCTGTCTCCAGGTTTTCCAGGTCTGCCATTGTTTCCCTGAAGAACAACACCACAGAGTTACACACACAGTTACACACACAGTTACACACACAGTTACACACACAGTTACACACACAGTTACACACACAGTTACACACACAGTTACACACACAGTTACACACACAGTTACACACACAGAGTTACACACACAGTTACACACACAGTTACACACACAGTTACACACACAGAGTCAATCATTTGGAGTAAAAAGTAAATGAGATCACATTATCTGACACTGTGTTAAAAGGAGAAGCAGTTTTGAAAGTTGATAAATAAACGACACTGTGCTCAGATTTCACAGTGAAACAAAATATTTCTGCTTTACTAAACATATAAAAATAAATGATCCTTTTTGATCCAAACTGAAGTCATGTTGAAGTAGAATTCTGTCTCAGTTTCAAACAGAAACTAAAATCTGTGTTCAACATGAGACATTTTATAGATTTGTTTGTTTCAGTAAATCTTATGTGAATTATTTTTGGGAATATTTGTGCAAAATGTCGATGAAAATAGTAAAAAACTTCAGTTCAGTCAGATCCATGTGTCCATCTGATGATTTTCATAAAACAGTAAATAAAAATATTTGTAGAATGTAAATAAATGTAGGTTTGTTAAAATACTAGAGACAATAGAATGAGATCATAAATACAGATGATACTTACGTCTTCACCAGATTTGCCAGGGGGTCCAGGGGGTCCTCGGGGGCCAACGGGTCCCTGCACACACGCAGACACACAGAGACACGTGTGAAGAGTCCGACGAGTTCACACAAACTTTACACACAAAATAATAAAGCTACAAACAAAATATTAAAACATCTTTAAGTCACAGACACCTGCAGAGAGAGAAGTCACGAAGAGAAAAGTGTCAAAGCGTCTAAATAAACTTTTATCTCGTCAGAAAGACTCAGACAAACTCTTTCTGTTTCACGTAAACATTAAACCACAGACAGATAAAACCCAAGTGTGTGAAGGCAGATCTTACAGCTTGACCGGGCTCTCCAGGCTCTCCGGGGTGTCCGGTGTGTCCTTGAGGTCCCTGTGGGCAGAACAAACACAAACATGAGGAAAAGTCCAGAGCTGAAGCACGGCCGCTGTGTGAGGAGTGAACGTGGGGCACTTACAGGGGGTCCGGGGGGTCCAGGGGGGCCTCGGGAGCCCATCATGCCCTGAAGAGAGAAAAACAGAAACCGACGTGAACGATGGATCAGAAATGTGTTTCATTTGATTTTAATAAATGTTATTTCTTTAATAAAACCCACAGACGCGAGGCCCTGAAGCAGAACACTGTAGGAAAACTTTAAACTTGTACCACACTGATCTAACGTAAATATAATGTCAGAGTCAAAGTGCTGGACTCAGGATTTGGCTTCAGTTCATTTCACTGTAAAAGTCCGACACGTTTATAAAGATCATTCATTTGTTTAGGAGGAAATGTGTAAAAATATTTTTCATGAATTTGTTGAAGTTTAAGTTTCAGACAAGTGTAAAAAAGACCTAAAATATCCGTCTGTTTCTTTATTTGGAAGGTCACAACATTTTAATTAGATTTTTATTTTATTATCAGCTGCTTTTTGTCAGTGTTTTGCAGCTTTTGTCTTTTTTATAAACCTCGTTCTCCACAGTCAAAGTGTCAAATCTGTGATAAACCATTTATATTTTCTCTTAGTTCTTATATTTTTTGTGACGTGTGACTCTTGTGTCCAAATCTTTTCCTTTGTGGATCAATAAAGTTTAAGTGTGAGTCTGTAAAGTTTCTCAGAGCTGCTCCTCGTCTCCTCCAGACGTCACAGGTTCAACACGCGAAACCCTGATGGAGTCTCTACGGCAACAGGCCGAGCCCCCGGGTGGGCAAACGTGTGCATGTGAGCGTGCATGAGGAGTGTGCATGAGGAGCGTGCATGAGGAGTGTGCATGAGGAGTGTGCATGAGGAGTGTGCATGAGGAGTGTGCATGTACCATGGGTCCGGGGCCGGGGTCAGGGGCCTTCGCACCATCGTACTGAGCAGCAAAGTTCTGCACAGAAACACAAGACACATTTAGAACATGTAGAACAAACACACACATGTAGAACACACACATGTAGAACACACACACACACATGTAGAACACACACACACACATGTAGAACACACACACACATGTAGAACACACACACACATGTAGAACACACACACACATGTAGAACACACACACACACATGTAGAACACACACACACACATGTAGACACACACACACACACATGTAGAACACACACACACATGTAGAACACACACACACACATGTAGAACACACACATGTAGAACACACACACACATGTAGAACACACACACATCATCATCTCAATCTGAGTCTGTTTCATTTTGTGTCTTGTTCTTCGTCTCGTTCTTGTCGTCAGGAGTTTTGGGCCTGAGGCGTCTGGACACGGGTCAGAAGGTCAAAGTCTAATGATCTGATCCCACTAGGCACGAGGAGACGACAGGGCAGGTGAGGTCAGGGCAGGTGAGGTCAGGGCAGGTCTTGGTCTGGTGGAGCAGGTCTTGGTCTGGTGGAGCAGGTCTTGGTCTGGTGGAGCAGGTCTTGGTCTGGTGGAGCAGGTCTTGGTCTGGTGGAGCAGGTCTCGTGGTCTTTGTCACTCTTCATGTACGACACCTGTGGGTCCCCACAAGTGTCGTACATGAAGAGCCACAGATTGTCCAGAAACACACGGGGTCAAACATGAGCAGGACAGATGTGAGAGGAAATGAGTCACACATGTGCGGCTCATTTTTAAAGGATCACAGGCAGAGGTCAGAAGGTCAGAAGGTCACGAGGTCACAGGTCAGATTTAACCGAGCACAAATGGATTTACAGCACGTCCACCGTTTGGACTCTTCAGAGCTCTGACCCACAACTCAGAGGCTACACACAAAACACAACACACACACACACAAAACACACAACACACACACACACACAACACACAACACACAACAAAACCACAGATCTGATCACACACGTGACCTTTATCTGATTTCTGGAGTAATCTGATTACTGTTCACAGTTGTATCAGATTTTTGATAATTTCAACTTTGGACAATTCTGCAAAAAGGACAAACTACTGAGACAAAAACCCAAATGTGAAATAAAGTTATTTTAAAATTATTTGTTTTCCAAATTCAACAGTTAAAATAAAAATCACGGACGCGTGTCACCAGGTGATTTTCACCTCAGACTCACAAACACAGAATCAAATCTAATCACACAGGGTCTGATTTTATCTGAATCCTCCAGTTCACACACACACACACACGGGACTCACTCCGCCTCCGAGTCCAGGGGGTCCAGGGGGGCCAGGGGGTCCGGGCAGGCCAGGCTTTCCGTCTTTTCCATCAGGGCCACGAGGACCCTGCAAAAAACACAAGAACGTCAGAGTCTGGCTCCAACACACTCGTCTGCTTCTACTTCTGCTTTTTCTTTTCATCTGTTTTTATTTTAGTTCATCACAAAAACCTGATGAACATTTGTGTTTTTAAAACTGTTTCTTTTCTCTCACAGTGAAATTACAGTTATTAAAATGTTTGTATTATTCTAAAGTCAGAATCAAAACAGCTGATGTAAACAAAGGGGCGTGGCCTGTCGGGTTATTAGGTCACATGACATTAGTATTAAGTCATGTGACATAAACATTTGTGTGTCTATAAAAATGTCAAACAGTGTTTATATTTGTGTGTGTTACACAAATGAATCAAAGTGTGTGTGGAAGAGTGAAGCTGCTCACCCGGTCACCTCGAGGTCCCTTCTCTCCTACAAGTCCCTGCAGCGAAAACACACAGAGTGAACAGCGATACACACGAGTGTGACTGTGTTACACTGTCAACATGAACACACACACACACACACACACACACACATCACACACACACACACATCACACACACACACACACATCACACACACACACACACACACACACATCACACACACACACACATCACACACATCACACACACACACACACACACACACACATCACACATCACACACACACACACATCACACACACACACACACATCACATCACATCGAGCTACAGGTTAAGACGATGTTGTGTTAATTTAGATTTAACATCGAGCCACAGATAAAACTAAACCAGGTCAGACTCAGATCCAGTCCAGGTCTGAGTCTGACCCGTACTGGCCTTAAACATAAAACCGTCCCTTTAAACCCTCAAATGTGTCTCAGATATTTAACAAACTGTTTGTGTTTTGAACATAGAAACAGTTTTTCTTCAGACTCGTCTCGTCTCTAAACGTGATGAACCTGTCGTTTTCTGTTCAGATTCGTGTGTAGAGTTTTTTCTGTGTTCTCATGGTCCCGTCTCCACAGCAGCAGCAGCATCAGGTCCAGACCAGGGACAGCCCTCTCCCAGGTCCACTCAAAGGGCCCTTTGTGCTGGGCCCCTGGGTGCCCCTGCCCCGTGGATTCAGTTACAATCACAGCAGCTCCGGCCAATCGCTCCTTCACCTGCTCCCAGACGCGACGCATAACGCTGCCCCCAGAACACTACCCCCAGACCGCTGCCCAAGGACTATTACCCCAGAACACTGCCCCAAAACCAGCCCGGACGACCCCAGGACCGGCCCGGGTCTGCCCCAGGACCGGCCCGGGTCTGCCCCAGGACCGGCCCGGGTCTGCCCCAGGACCACACTCTGAACCAGGGCTCATGGAGACGAGAGAGAAACACACTGCTGCTGCTGAGGACGACCAGGCTGACTCAGGTAAGTGTGTGTGTGTGTGTGTGTGTGTGTGTGTGTGTGTACTGACCGAGGCTGGGGTCCGGAGCACACATAAGGAGACGAGGAGATGAGGAGACAAGAGAGGGGACAAGGAAACAAAAGAGGACACTTGTTAGAACATGAACAGAGTTTGTACTCAGCTCAGATACAGTAATACTGCAGTACGTGCAGTACCTGTAGAGCTACAGTCTCTCGACCTTGCTAGCTTGACTGCTCAGACGTAGCTGGTCGATCAGCACAGTACTCCTTCACCGGCAGAGGCTAAGCAGCACGTTAGCTGCAGTAACTTCCGTGCACTGGTCTCGTGTCGACTTGTCTCCATGAGCCTGTTCAAAAGTTTAGTGTGAGACTCCGTGCGGGAAGTGCATACGGTCTGGGTCCTGTTCTGCTGACTCGGGTGAGTCCAGAAAAGTGCCGCGTCCGGCAGGGGTATCCGGCCTGGGGCAGACCCCCGGGCCGGTCCTGGGGGGAAAACCCCCGAGGCGGTCCTGGTGAGACCTGCGCGTGCTCCGGTCTGCCATGCGGGCGCATTCTCGAGCTGTCAGGCGGAGGCACGAGAGCCACAGGCCGATCACACACCGGCGCCCGCCGGCCTCCGCGCAGGGCTCCCGTCAGATGTGCTCGGCCGGGCGCGAGCCCGTCGCTAGAGTGCCGGGTTCCATAGTCACTATGGCGCGACCGCAGCAGGCCGCCGCACAGGTCGCCGCCGGCCAGCGTGTTACTGCTCGCTCGAATCGAGTGTTTACAGTTCGGGGAGTTTCGCTGGTATACGAGGACTCTAGTATTGAGAGTGTGAAGCGCGGTGGAACGTAGCTAGCGCTGTGCTGCTGTAACTGAAAGTATCCGCACGGGAGGGAGGCTGGACGAGTGTACACTCAATATATTATACACGATGTATTACACTGTGATCATGTTCACTCAGATTGAACGACCCTGACGAAGAATCAATAACAATCGCACCAAGAAGCAGTGGTCGACGTGCTCGATGTGGACCTGGAAGAGGGCTGCTCCCAGATCTCAGACTCAGATGGACTCTAGATCTGCATGTACCTCAGACTGTGCTGATGGAGTGACGGCCGCAGTGCTGAAGTCAGTTATCTGTAAGTTCATAAAAAACTCTTCAGCACATAAAGCACGAATGTCTTAAGATTAGTTAATACAGAATCAGGTGGTCATCAAGCACTGCTCGTCAGGAGCTGCGGAGACTCGAAATGCGAGCAACTAAGAAATGTCCTTCCAACACCTCGAGATTCAGGTGCTCTTCAGTCCTGGCAACCAACCAGCAGAGAAGCACCTCACTCAGGTGTCTTCAAGAACGTGAGATCATGATGCCACAATAAGTGAGAGCATGTACTTGACCACTTGCACGTGCGCACGGTTTGTCAAATTTCCACAGCCGACCAAGAAGCGCGCAGGTGCAGACCTCACGCAAACTCTTGGCACTACGGCATCATGAGACATTGGAAGCCAGATGTGGACGATGTTGAACAGATGTGGACAGATGTGACAGATGTGGACATATTGTGGACACCAACATCTGAGCTGCAGCAGAGACGACCGATCAAACCACAAAACTCAAATAAATAAATATTAGAACTATAATATATAAATATAAACATAATGTTTCTGCAGTTTTGAATAAAGTTAAAGGCTCTTAAAGGTCACAGGTTTGACTTTTAAAATCACTATGAGCATTCTGAGAGTTATCTGGTATATTAATAGATAATTATCAGAATAAATTGGTTGTTTTGTATGAGGTATAGTAGAGTTTCCTGGCGCGTTTGGTGAGTTCGTGTTTGCGGGAATTAGTGGGTTCTTGGTGTGGTGTGTTCTTTGATTTGTTCGTTAGAATCGTAAGTGGAAATGTTGGTGTGTGGTGTTGTGGTCGACCCTAGTGTGTGTGGCCTCGGTCGTGTCTGTGTGTGTGTGATTGTGTGGTCGTCTGTCGTGCATCCGTAGTTGAATGGGGTGCGGTTGCTACAGTTTCCATGCTGAGGATTCTGCTGTGTCAGTTCTTGGGATACAGATAGTAGGTTCCATGGATGCGACCTCCGTATGCAAACTCGTTGTTCCATCTAAGGCACCACAAACCCAGGACCAAGACCTAACCTCATCACTGCACCAGGGTCTCTACTGCAAACACACCCATGACCCCGACCCCCAGGACCCCATCAGATATCCTTTTTCGATTCCAACCCTCCGTCCACATCCTCCATCCAACCTTTTTATTTTGTCCTCTTCTTCACCCCGCGCCTCTTTGTTTTTATTCTTATGGTTTGTGCCCCTTGTCCTCCGCCTCTCTCGGGCTTTTTGGGTTTTGCCACATTTCTTGGAGGTTGGGGTGTTTAGCTGGCAGCAGTTTCCATGTCTAGTTATAGGTGAATTGTGCGACAATGAGAAGCGCATTTTGAGAGAGAGCATTGAAGTTGAACTGTATATGACACAGGGTCATAGATAGAACAGGAGACGGGCCTCGAACCAGCATTTTTTCTACATAATACCTGCTATCTATGGAGGTCCCCTCTCTGGCGTGGCTGTTCCTATCCGAGTGAAAAGCCCCTGTTGCCGGTGTATTGCCGACCAGGTTGTGATGCGTGTCAGTAGAAACAATACTACACGAGGGTCTGCAGGAGATTTGCCGGAAATGGAGGATTCAGACAACAATCAGACCCTTGCCCTTCACCCACTATTGATTCTGGTGTTTTGTGAAGTCCTGAGGTGAAACTCCACCTGGTGACCCGCGTCCGTGATTTTTAAAAAATTTTTCAACTGTTGATATGGAAAACCCAAATAATTTTAAAAATATTTACTTTCCACCACTTTGGGTTTTTATGCTACACAAGTGATTTTTTGGCAGAATGTCCCAAAGTTGAAAATTTCAAAAATCTATACAACTGAGAAAAGTATATATACAGAAATCAGATAAAGGTCACGTGTGTGACAGATCTGTGTTTTTTGTTGTGTGTTGTTGTAAGTGTGGTGTTGTGTTGTGTGTTTTGTGTGTGTTGTGTGTGTTTTGTGTTGTAGCCCTGAGTGTGGGTCAGGCTCTGAAGAGTCCAAACGGTGCGACGTGCTGTAAGATCCATTTGGCTCGGTTAATCTGACCTGTGATCGTGACCTTCTACCTTCTGACCATCTGCCTGTGATCTTTAAAATGACAGCGCACATGTGTGATCCATTTCCTCTCAATCTGTCCTGCTCATGTGTTGACCCCTGTGTGTTTCTGGACAATCTGTGGCTCTTCATGTACGACACTTGTGGGACCCACAGGTGTCGTACATGAAGAGTGAAAAGTACCAGACCTGCTCAACCGGAGAAGACTGCTTCCACACAGACCAAGACCTCCCTGACCTCCTGACTCCAACCTGCCCTGTCGTTCCTCGTGCCAGTGGGATCAGATCATTAACTGTGACCTTCTGACCCGTGTCAACGCCTAGGCCCCCCAAAACTCCTGACGACAAGAACGAGACGAGAACAAACACAAATGAAAAGACTCAGATTGAAATGATGATGTGTGTGTGTGTGTTCCTTGTGTCTGTGTGTGTGTGGTTTCATGTTGTTGTTGAGTCGTGTTTGTTGTGGTTTATGCCAGTGTTGCTTGTGTTCTTGTGTTGTTGGTTCTCATGGTGTGTTGATTCTCTGTGTGTGTGTGTGTTCTCAACATGGTGGTGTGATGTGTTCTACAATTAGTATCGTGTGTGTGTTCTTAACATGTGTGTGGTGTCGTTCTAAAACATGTGTGTGCTGTTTTACTGTGTGCTGTGTGGATTCTACATTGTGTGTTGTGATTCTACATTTCGTGTGCTACCTGTGTGTGTTTGTTCTAATGATTAAATTGTGTTTGTGTTTCTGTCGATTGCCTGCCTCTGACGAGAACCGCCGCAGGTCACGCACCCTCACCCTCTCACACTCCATGCACCGTTTGCCACCGGGGTCGGCGATTGCCGTGAGTCATCAGGTTTTGCGTGTTGACTCTTTGCGTCTTGAGGGAACCGAGAGCAGT